GATAAATACAAAATTTTGTGGTCTCATGTGTTCACTAAGACACATGTTATTAATAGGATTTATGAAACAGTTAGGTACCCCAGCTTTAACTTACTGTTACAACTACTTCATCATGCATTACTAGACTCTGTTAGACTCTGTTCTCCTCAGGGCCGCCTTTCTTAATTCTGTTTTTAGCAATGCGCTATAATAAGAAGTGTATTATTATTCATTGTCACAGGGGCTTGGATGGTTTCCCAGGATGCACCAGACACAGGACAGACTTGTGGAGCAGTCTGGACGGGTTGAAAGTATTTTTACACTTATGAGAAATATAAATACATAAGAGAGAAACAAAATGGAGGCTACAGCTGCAAACAATTACACCTACAGGTCAAATCAACTCCTGGTCAAAAACAGACTTCATAGACTTTCGTGATTTTGGAAGGAAGTCATTTGACGCCTAATGGCACGAGAAAGTGCTTAGGATAATCTCATAATCTATCAAATTACTAAAAGTGGTGAGTTTTGAAGATTTGATATGATTCTGATGTCATCTGAAGCGGTTTAGTTTGTACACATATGTATCTAGTGGTTACTGTATCCAGAGAAGGGAGGTGTTCAGACTGGGGGTGGGTGAAAAGACTCAGCAAGCATAAATATAGACATATACAGGAGAAACATGGAAAGTTAGAGTATCGCTCAAAAGTCCATTTAATTCTGAGTGAAAGGTATCAAGCCTTTATTAGGTATAATGTTGATAATTAGCCCACAGCGTGTAAGAAACCCAACAAAAACATCTCAGAAAATAAGAATAATTCATAAATCATCAACATTATAACAAACATAGTTGTCATATGTCACTTTGTCTACAATAAGTCTATATCATAGATCGGTTTTACATTTAAAGCTGAATTAGAGAAATTAATGACGTTTTGAAAAATATATCAACTATTGTGTCACCTGCACTGTTTGCAATATAATTACATGTTTTTTTCATTTTAATCTGATCTTTTTGGGGTATTTACATGACAAATGATTCCTTTGAAGAATTTACATATCTCCAAAATTGTAGTGCGGATTACAGAAAATTATACTTGTAAAGAATTGCCTCAAGTGAGACACTAGAAAAACAGCAAGTCACAAGTTTGTTATCTGTATTTGTCATGTAAAAATATCGCAATAGCCGCCTTATGGTTCAGTATCGAGTTGCCAGATACAAGGCAATGCAAACCCATAATACTGTTTTTTCTCAAACAAACAAAAAAATATTCAAATAAGAATCTGCACATTATATCTTTTTTTCTGCAGTGTTCCCATTGAAGAGCAGTTGATCCTCCCCCATTTTTCTCAGGCCACAGATCCCAGTAACATACCAGCCTACACACTTTGCCCTTTGTCCTCACAACAAACTCTTCTTCCAAACGGTGGATTTATAAGAAAAACGTTGGATCTAAAATCGTGCTTTGAGCAAACCGTGCTTTCAAGGCATTCAGGAATAGATGTACAAAGGCAAGTCAGACAAAAAGGAAAAACAAACACACAAATATTTTACAACCTTTTAAAAGTGACAAGCCATGAGGAATGACTCCAAAACTCAGATTTATGATAAGCAGTCCGAGGTTAGATCTGCGTCAGAGTTTCCCGGCTTTCTATTACCTCTGCTATTTAAAACACTGCGCTTACAGGAGATGACATCCTCTATGACTGAAAGAATCTGGCGAAGCAACGGACTAAGCCAAAGCAGTAATACAAATGTAAATAAATACAGATATTACGAGAAACTGCTGATACTTTCTGGCACACATCTGACCGCATAACCAAGATGAACTCATGTTTGTTTTAATGCTGCCTTTCCTTTCCAAAATTCACGTCTCCATGATGCTAAACTTATTTCCCCTCAATTGATAAGAAGCTCCAAGTTGTGGGAACGCACAGACTCCCATGTGGCTGTAAATTGATGCTGCTTTGGACAAACTAAACAGGGAAAAGTTAGAAGTGTGGCCTTGAGAGGACACACACCGGAGAGAGATCTAGTCCAGCACTTTTGCCTCCGTGCCAGAGATATGTGCCTCCTCCTAAAAAGGCAGAAACATTTAGGAAGGGTTGAGATCCTTCGTCAGGTTGGCTCAACAAAGAACAGACGCCGCAAATTCTCTCCACTCCAACTAAAAAGCTTTTAGATATTGTCCCAGCCAGGGTTTACAATTTCCTCCCTGATAAATTATGACTAAAGTGGCTCTCCTGCCAGTCTGTAATCAGTTTGCATCTCTTACATGACAAAATCCTGAAAATGATTAATTCAACAGGAACCCTTGCATAAAGACACAACAAATATGAAGCAGACAATCATTTTAAGTTCTTACCTGGCGAACAAGACTGTTGGTGGTTGTATCAGAGGAAGTGCTGCCATCTGACCCTTTAAATCGCCCCTTTCTCCGATTTCCATTGCCTCGAGTCTGAAATTTACAAAATGCATTACACAGAAATAAATAGTTTGTCACAAAAACTTTATAATCATGTCTGTTGATTGCACTTCTTTGTCATCTATCAGCTCTTTACAAGCTTATTTCAGCTACTATTGCAATATCACAGCTCGGTGGCTGAGTGGTTAGCCTTCTCGCATCTCTTGGGTCCTGGGTTGGATTCTACCTCAAGACGGAGCCTTTCTGACTAGAGTTTGCATGTTCTCCTTGTCAGACACAAGGAGAACATGCAAACTCTACTCAGAAAGGCTGTGGGTTTCCTCCTGGTGCTCCAGTTTACCCTACCCCTAAAAACATGTACTATACCTCGCCTCTCTTTGGGGCCAGGACTGCCCTGAAAAAGAGATTCTGAAATATCTGTGGGACTTTTCTGGTTACATAAGGTCAATAATGATAAAAAGCTAAATATTTGTGATTTTTTTCCATAAACGAACAGTCCCAGCAATAATGTATTTTTACTTTAAAAATATAATGATAATAATAACAAAATGCAGGTTTAAAATAAGCTACGATAAAAAATATATGTTAAATTAATTAAACTTATCACAGCCAATCAGCACAAAGCATGAAGCAGCCCGCGCGCACAAGTGAATTAGCTAGCTACATCAAGGAGCTAATTGTAAAAAGCATAACAAAAAAAGTTGTTATTGTTGTTTAATGTAAAGTTTAGTCTGAAACGGGACTTACTTTTTACTTGTTTATTTATTATTATAGATCCATGGGCTTACCTGAATCAGTGCCTGGTCCACAGAGTCCATGCCGCTCTCTCTCACCGATGTCCGGAGGTAAACACGTGCTCCATCCCGGTCCTCCTTTTCTGTTTTCCCTGGTTTAGCTTCACTTTTAATCTGATTCCAGCTACATTCTTTCGTCCAGTGTGGAGCAGGAGGAGAAGACGCGTGTGGGAGGCAGTTTTGTGGTGAGAGACTGGTTGATGATGATGATGATGATGGTGGTGTGGATGCGGCATCAGTAGCCTCTTCAGCGCTGCCCTCCTGCCCACGGGCCTGACCAACGCCAACACTCACTTATAAACCACTTCAGCTGCGTTGGCTTAATAGATCCATGGTTGGCTCCCGCTTATGAGCAACAATTTTCACAATCAACACATCTACGAGAAAGAGAAACTAAAATAAAAAACTAGCCCTTTACTGCCCTCTTGTGGTAGCATTATGAACCACGACTGAGCTATAACCATAGACTGTATAAGCTATAACCTAATATTTATAGTCTATGGCTTCAACAGTTTATTATTATTATAACAGCACTATCGCAATAAGGGTGCATTATGTAACCAATAAGAATTAATATTTGTGGATGTGATATGTAATAATGATACATAAGAGAGCATTTATGATTTATATATTTTCATGTAGGGAGAATTCATCTTTGAGTACCTACAATGTAATACCATACAAATTGTGTCATGCGGTGAGGGTATTGTAAATTACTGTACTGCACAGAATCTTAATTGTATGTTGCTTAATTATATTGTATTTTGTGAGTTATTGGGTTGAATGGGTGAGAGGTGTTGGGAAAAATACGCTTCTGCTTGATTTTAAAACCTGACTTTGTGTGAAGATATGGGAAATTGTGTTCTGCAGGTTTTAAATCAAATCGAACTGATGCCATTGTGTCGTCCTATAGGCTGTAGTCTCTGCTGAGGTAGTATTTAGTCCAGGATCCATAAAGATGCTAGTCCTTCCCAACTTGGCTTTGACACAAAAGAGCAGGTGTTAAAATGAAGATACAAGTAAATAAGGGAGTCTTTGGGAAATGCTTTGCTTTTCTGACATTGTGAAATTTCCACATTTTGCTGAAATAAGAGAAAATGCAACAGCCAACATCCTGCTATTGTATGAACATTTTCCTGGAATTCAATGTGTCAGCTCTTAGGATACATTTGCCAAGTTCTCTTCAGATTTGGACAAGAACCAAGGAATGATACTCAACTCAATTACAGTAAACTTTGACGGTTTATTTATCACAGCTATAATCTCATCTCGTCACATTGAAAGTAATGGTGTGCATTGTGTTGGACCATCTGTGGGCTGCTCTGGCCAGCAGAGAGAGAGGTGCTGTGTGAAGCTGTGTGGTTCTGTGTGGGCCGTAGTCTTGCACAGGGAGCATTAGTCATCCAGGTCGGTGGATGAACACAACAGCCCAGGTGGGTGGAAGGACCCTCGTATTGGATCATACACAGGGCCAAAACAAATATCAATGACACAGAGGTGAGAACCTGCAAAGAAGAAGCTTATGCACAACAGTTCTCTTCAAGTGACATAAAAGTCTGCTTTTTACCACTTTAACACAGCATTATTACTGGTATCAGTCTAAATACATACAACTACACTCATTTACAAAGCAAATATTTCTATTTGGTATGGCATATTAGGCGTATCAAATACAACATATAAAAAGATTTGCACATGGTCTGATTTCTAACAACATGTCGGCTCGTTTGAATATGATTATGCTGTTACATACATAACACTGACTGTTCTGATATAAATATGTTACATAAATGTTTGTGGTTCATAGTCTGAGTTTATGTTCAAACAGGGCCAGCAGTAAGAGGCAGGCCCAGCCCATCAGCAGTCCAAGGTTCTGCAGGAAAAACAAGAGGCACGGCCGCGTTGTCTTCACACGACTCATCTCTGGGAGCTGCACAAAACAAGAGTAATTTATCACCACCACAGCACAAATAACAGCAAACCAATGTCATTCCTATATGGGATTACATGTGCCACTACAATACATATGAGCTTGGTTGTCCTTGGAGACTTTTCAATCTGGGACGCAATATATTTTGTAGCTTTATATGTGTTTTCACTGGAAAAAACATTTTTCTAGAACTCACTTCGCTTTCATCAATGTAGTCGTATTTGACTAGATTTAATTTCAAGATGTTTCTGACCATTTACACACCTTTATTTTCCCCGCAAGATCCTTTTGCCACTCTGATAAGAAATAATAACGTATGTCATTAGCAAACCTATTGTCTTAAACTACATTATGCCATATTCCAATTCACCATCTTAGATTACTATATATAGCAAAAACATGAGCCTCTGTGAAAGTTTCTGCTCTCACCATTTCCACCAGGGAGAGGTAGAGGAAGATGCCAGCTGTCACACTGAAGACCCACTGCTGCACTTCAGTCTCCGCGGACACAAACAGTCCGGTGTAGAGCCCCATGAAGGCGGTCAGGGCACTGAGGAAGTTCATGAGCACCGCAGTCTTCACCGGGAGCCCAGAGTTCAGCAGCACCGCAAAGTCTCCTGCAACAAGAGAGAGAGGCCCCGAGCTCCTATATTTGTTTCGGTAATTGAGTGTTTCTAGCCATGTCCTGTCACTTCATTTATGAATGACTTCTCACCCATCTCATGTGGGATCTCGTGGCACAGAATGGCCACTGTGGTCGCTACACCGGTCTCAGCCGACGAAGAGAAGGCCGCTCCGATAACCAGGCCGTCGGCAAAGTTATGAAGGCTGTCTCCCACAATTATCATCATGGCCAGCAGAGGAACGCCTTGTCCTGGGAACACAAAGGCAGTCTGTGCTCAACCTCCACCAATTAGGAAGAACCCATGCACCATCAAAAGTAATGTAAGTGATTGAAGTTTAATCACATTTCAACCCTAAAGCCGGCTGATTTTCAAACTCCAAAAGATAGAACTACGTTTTTAAATTATATAACTAGTTTCTCACTAATTGTCTTCTTTCACAGCTTAAAGCTAACTTATTTGTTCTTCAATAATACGTGTAAGTATGTCTTGTAAAATGTCGTGAATCAGACCACAACATTCTGTCTTTATCTCTGTCAGTCATTATCTGACTCTTTGAGCAGATTAGCTGAGAAGGGTTTCTGCCTGAAAAAAATGGGTCGGAAGACAAGATTACATGCATGCTAAAACCAAACTAGGCCGAGGAGCTTGTTACACAGATTTTATCATACTATACGTTATGGGGTTTGAAAGTTTGGTACCCCAGCTTTAAAGTGGGTGTGGCAGGTTTCTTTAGGATCCATTATGAATATAGAGTGTCAATACAGATAGAAGAAATTGACAGTCATTTACTTCCCTATACTTTTAATAATATATCATTTTGATCTAATTCTCACTATGTTTTAGTGATGGGAAGTGAACTTGAACTAGACTGAGGAAACACAAGTGGGATTTTCCATCAAATCTTAATAATAATATGAGTTTGGCATCCCACAATTTGCACCCATTCCGTCAGAGTCTGAAATCCACTCACTCTGTTTGGCGTGGCTTCTTGTGTTTGTGTGCTCAGGAGAAGTTTCGGCACAATCCAATTCATCCACTGGGCCCTGCGAGACAAAGATACCAACAACACACAACACATAACAATGAAACATGCCGTTAAAGAAGCAGGGGAGTATTTATGGCCCGCTCCTCTTCTTCTGCTGGACCTTTGCCATTATGTACAAATTGTGCTCAAACATCATCTGCTGCAAGCAAGAAGAGCACTTTCTGAATGATGCAGTACTTTTCCAACAGCCTACATGCCGCGTACTGCTACACCTCCTACACCAATGATAATTTTTCTCTTATATAACAGAAATTAATGCTACTTTATTCCATTTAAAACCAAGATAAGTTGTATTTGTTTATCTATTTGTCAAGGAGAGGCTCACCAGCTGTATAGTGGAGATGGACTTGCCCCTTTGAGACTGACCATTGCAGTTGAGCTCCAGAGGAAGGCCATGACTCTGCTCCGAAGAAACATAGAATGAGTGGGTTGGGTATGAAAATGTTTAGATTATTTATTGTTATTATTACATAAAATTGACAAAAATAGTAATATGTTGGCTTACATGAGCGTGTGATGGGACAACAAATGCAAATATCTTTTCAAGCAGGAAAAAGGCATAGATCCCCACTATAATGCCTAAAAGTTTCCAGAGATGCTCCTGTCCTTTGTCAAAATGCTCCTCTCCTTCATGAACGTGGGAGTGATCGTGGAGCCCGAGGACCTGAGAAAGGGACAGGAGAGGTTAGTGTTGTCTCCGTGAGCTGGATTCATTCACTGCTTATGTCTCGTACCTGTGGGATGAGGTGGAGCAGTGCATCTCCAGACAGAGTCCCCACCGCTAACCCCACAAACAGCTGCAGGATCAGGGTGTACGTCTCCTGGCACGAGTGGAAGAAGATCAGGCAGGTGCCGAGCATAGAGCCGAGAGTGATGAGCAAGACGGCAACTGTGCTGTAGCCGTACTCTGCAGAAGACAAATATTATTCTTTGATATTATAATGCACTTGTTATAGTCCTTTAATCATCCCACAATGGTGAAATTTCAATGTCATAGTTGCGCACATTGCAGCAAAATAAAAATTATATCAAACAAGATCGATCTTTTAAGAAGATAAATAGAAATAGAATAGAATAAAACTCTGTAGCTTTTATTGCACTTGGTTCGAAGGTATTTACAGATGTGTATATTGTATTTTAGCAGCAGCGAATATGACCGGAATAAACAATAGTAATAGCAGCAGCAGGAAAAGTGACTATAGTGAATGACAGAAATATCAGATCAATGGATATGTAATACTGTAGTAATAATAATAACAGGTAATAAACTACCATATACCACCATACAAAGTTACGGTTCTCATAAAGAGTTAAATTGTCTCACTCTCCAAAGCAGTGGGCTGAGGTCCTCTTGCGTTTGACACCATGGACTCGCAGGCATTGCCTAGCAACTGCTGAACGATGGCTGGACAAATTTGTGTGAAGTGGTCCTTGGAAATTCGCGAATGAGGATCCAGAGCAAAAATATCCACCAACTGATTGGCAGAAAAACAGACCTAAGACACAATAAGAGTACAGCGTAGGTTAGGTATTACAGGACAAGGTTCGAGGTCTTTTCTTGTTCTGATTTATTCTGGGTTTGTCCAGATTTAGTTTCATATTAAAGCTGTGGTACATAACTTTTAAAGCGCAAAAAAATTATCTATGTAGTAAAATTGTATTGCATTAGTATTTTTAGTATTTTTGGCCTCTGTCACATCTTTAGACCAACTTTTTCAGACAGAAAAGTCAAAAATATGACCCTCACTAAGCCGATCAACTTTCAGCCTAAAGAGTAAAATGTTGACTCCTGGGGCTCTTACAAGTAAAGAAGTTGGAAGTAGAGCTTTCTCATACAAGGCTCCATCTGATTGGAATAAGTTACCCACATACATAAGATCCTTAACCTCCTTTGGCTTATTTAAATTGGAATTATCTAGATATCTTACCATTCCCTGTGCATGTTACTAGCTGTTTTTTATTTTTATTATTATTATATATATATTTTTTATTTTATTTATTATTTTGTAATATCTGGATGTATATTTTAAGTTGTATTATTCTATCACCCGCAGTATGTATGGCTAGTATTTGACTATATTGTATACAGTAATGATGTATATGTTTTTTAATGTGTTCTTATAGTAGGAGGTGGAGTTGGATCTGAGGGAGCAAACCTGTGTGTGTTAAATGTATAAATGTTAATTGTTTGTATGTACTGTATTATATGTATTGTGTTTGTTTGTTTTATGTTCATGGGACCCTCTCGAAAATGAGATGCTGCATCTCAAGGGGTTTTCCCTTAATACATCTAAATAATAAATCTAAAAGTATCCAAAAGATATTTTGTTTTCTAACAACAAACATCATGTTGGGGTCTGATATTTGTTGGGATTATCAACATTTATTATTTATGGGGGAAAAAGTCTCATTTCAGGTGCATTGATTATAGAGAGCTGCACAAATTCTCACCTGGGCCCAGTCTGTGATTGCTGCTGTATTTTCCTGCTTGTCTCCTAACTCAAGCTCTTTTTCTTTGTGCGTCTCTCTGGTGATGCTCCGCCTCTCTCTTCTGTGATCGTGTGCTTCATGCCCTACTCCCAACTGATGAAGCAACTCCTCCAAATCTAAACAGAATCAAACTTCAGTAAGTAGACATTCTGTAGCATGGATATAGATATAGACAATATACTGACTGCCTAAACTCAAACTCACCAAATATATGGAGGTCGCTCGTGCAGTTTAAGGATTGAAATATGTAGTCTGTGAAGAAAGTTGGAGAGGGGAGACTTCTTTGCTTGAAACAGCCTCCCATCAGCATGTGACTGATGATGGATGCGGACAGCTTGGACACAGCGGCTATGTCAGCGCCTGGATCTTCTGCAATTTCAATTTCCCTTAGAAGATGAGAGGCATCAACACACTAAAGAAAAGATAAGTAAGCAAACGCAGGAATAAACACACACCACATTACACACATCTCTCACTTGCTCGTCTTTGTGCGTAGGATGGAAATGTCTGTTGATAAGCAGCAGAATGCTTTCAGTTTCATTGCCAGATAGAAAGAGATTGTCCTCCGCTGGGTGCAGGTTAGCGAGGGCCAATAGATAAAACTGATAATTCCCATGAGACGAGGAAGAGGACGAAGTGACAGAGGAGTCCGTATTTGGTACACACAAGTCTTGTAAGTTAATGACGTAATAAAGCAGCACAGTTGAGATCTTCTGATAGTCCTCTTCAGTGAGTGTGGGGCTCTTGTTGTTGTCCAGAACAGACTGAGCGATGTCTGTAGTCAGGCACTACAAGGATAAGAACGCAGACGAGCAGTTGTTAAATAAAAGACGAGATTGTAATTGTTCAAAGATTAGAGATTCTTAGTTTTTCAACATCTGTAGTTGGTGTTGTGCTTCACTGCTGAAAAATAAGTTTGGCAAAATGTAACTGCCTTAAAACAAGATTTGCCAATGGAAGAAGAAAAATAATCTTGTTTCAAAAAGATACAAAGAAGTGTCTCCTTTGGAATGAGAATGTAAAGGAACTGTTGTTGAAATTAGACTGAGTGGCTCAGACACTCAGATTGAACTTTGCAGAATTGCTATACTCTGTAGAGCTATTGGAGATTGTGTGGTCTTGAATAACTTGGGCTTCATAAAGAGCTGTTTTTTTACATTCTTTCTTGTGTCTGCCTGACATTGTGCAACAGTAGTGGACCAATTAGACCAACACTCGAAAATATGGAGAGGTCTACTGCATCATGCCTTTACAATGGCATGGGCAGCAGATGTAGCTCGAGGGACTTTTGAGTGTAAATAAACAGTATAAACTCATTGTTATTGAGATTATACGATGCCTCTGTCACTCACTGTGAAAAGTACGGCTAAACTCTGCTGAGTAGGCCTTAGGCTTCTCAGCGTGAAAGCTCCACAGAGTGAAAATTCTTAAGCCTTCACGTTCACACACATTCCTGCCATAACAAGCACGGAGACACACAGTAAACATGATAACAATGTGACACATAGCTTACTTGTTGAGAATTGCATATTTGATTAAAACAGACTCATAAAGACATTGGAGTAGATGTTCATGTATGTACAGTAGTGGTCTCACCGATCCACAGACATCGTGTGAAGAGTCAAACTGCTCCTCACAGTGCACAGCCTGCAGGACTCGGCCGATGAGGAGTCCTATGTGGCGCCGCTGGAGTGTGGGCTCTCCCTCTGTCCCGCGCACCCCCAAACCCCGCAGCACATCCTGGTATATGTGCTCATGGCCTCGTGTGTCCTCAGTTCTCATTAGAAGCAGCACCAGCAGCAGGGAAGAGCTGGACCTCCAGTGCATGTTCACTGCCCTTTTACTCCTATCCGCTTTCCTTCAGATGAGAATAGTCAAAGTGAATGGATGAAGCAGCAGATATGTGCTGTCTGAGGCGGCAGGTAGGAATAGGCCCACTCAGCTCAAACAACCCTTAACATGTTGAATGGCCGGCCCGAGCCTGGGCCCCTCAGCCCACAACAAAAGGATTAGTGCTGCAAAGTGGGAGAGGGCAGGGGCATGCAGCGAGATAAGGGCGTGATTGGGGAGTAAATCAATTATGTTTGAAGAACTATTCTGATAACAAGGAGAACTACAACATTCACATCATACTTTTAAATAAAAATGAATTAAGCAGGCTTCACATTTTCTCCAGTGTCCGGCGGTCAAAAGGACTGCAGTCATTTGAATATAGATCAAACACTGAAAGTTTTGTATTCATTGTGATTCATCAAAAATCATATGCACAAAGCAGCATTATTCCTCCATCCGCCCACATAGTCAGCCCTGCAGGTCAAACCGACCGACAAACATGCTTCAAATCCTAATGAAGTGAATAGATTGACCGTATCTGTACCTGCAGTGCTGTCTCCTGCTCTCTCCGCTGCTCACATCCAGGTCTTGTTTTGGACTGAACTCCTGTGTTTTGGTTACGAGTCTTATGGGAAGTAAGAAATGAGTAAGCTCCTGAAGGATTAGCAGCGACCGCCTCAGAGGGCTGCCGTTTCCATGGAGAATTCTGCCTCATTTTCAATGAGGTGATAGAGGGAGACATCTACTGCTGAAGGTGACTAAACATAATTGTACAATAAACATACAATATTCATAATCGGTGATGAGGCAATATTTAAAATCAATACACAGTAATGTAAATTTGTGATGACTTTGTTCTTACTATTTATACTTGAACACAACGGAAGCAAAAGCAGTATATTAAAAAACAACATTTTATTAAACAATTATTTACAACAAGGCACACATAGGTTGAACGTTTTTCTTGATCATAGTTATTTCTTCAATGGAAATGTTCTCAATCATTTTGTCTAATGATTATATATAGGGTCAAAATTTGGAGAAACCACAGTGGTCATTGTGTTACAGATTAGAAAGAAAATTATTGTTTTTTGAATTGTTCTTGAAGTACAGTCAAACCAGAGGCTCGTGCCTAAGCGTGCTCATTCTGCTCTATATTAGCCACCAGACCGTTAGTGTCCACTGGGGCGCGGATGGGGTTGTTGAAGTAAAGCTTATTATCAAAGTGGCTCTCTCCCAGAACAGCTGGCATGGGAATGGCCCTCCGGAAAAAGAGAAAGGCTCCAAGACCGGCGACGGCAATTACAACCAGGACCACTGCCACCGTGACGCCCGCTGAGCTGTGCGTCTCCTCTTTTACCACGAGAGCTTAACCATAAACAGACACAGGGGTTCACACACTGATATACAGATTACATATACTTAAGTACATGACGGGACCTACCCACAGATGGAGGCTTCTCAGTGGGTGTAACAACTGAAAAATAGTAAGATTATAACAAATGAAAGCAATGAATTGTTCTTGAGTTGTACTAATAATGTATTATTTGAACCCTGCGACTTATATAGCGGGTTTTAGTAGCTATAGAACACTCGTTTATTCTCAAAATAGACAGGTGAAGGAGTACCGGCAGTGAGCTGATCAAGTGCTGCCTATATGTGGACAAAATGTAGCTGTTGTGGCTTATGTATATAGTCCACACAGTATGGTATGATATTGGACACACTATACACATGCACAATCATGCATGTGTATGTCACTTCTGCGCCATTTGACCATAAAAACAAACTGGCACATATACTTGGCAATGTGTGGGAAGCGTTTTGTCTAAAAACACAGCTTACCTTTTGGTGTTTTGCAGATGTAGGATCTGTATCTGCTGCAGCTGCTTGTGCTCCACTGGCCAGTTTCAGAGTTGATTTCAACACACGATTCTTTGCCAGGCATCCCAGGTTTCCAGTTAGTGTAGTCCACGGGTTGGTTGTCAATCCACATCCACTCACCTGTCACAAGCACAAACATATTTTAAAACACATGCGTTTGATCTTCCTTGTTATGGAGGGAAAGAGGAAACTTTTCATACATTACAGGTGAAACTTTGACAATTAGAATATTGTTCCAAAGTAAATTTCTGTGATTCAACTTACAATGTGAAACCAAATTATGATATAGACCAATGACATGCAAAGTGGTATAAGCCAGTTTGGTTTGTTGTAATTAGGATGAATACAACATTAGTCCTAACCCAAACCCTAACCCTTATTTTATAACAAATAAATGCTTGATGTATCTCACTTTGTCATTAGTCATTAGTTTCACAATGTAAGTAAATGGACTTTTACCACTTTAATGTTCACTCCTTGAAGAAAGAAATTTGTCCAAAACCAAATGATAGAGATGCCCCAATGAGGTAGATTTCAGTTCCAAGCTTCAAGTAGATATAGTGACTCAAAAGAAGATCTTCCAAATGGTTGAGGAAACCATTAAAGGGTTAAACAACATTCTAACTGTCAGAGTTTCAACTGTAAACTCATTTCAATTTCTCATGATGGAAATTGTTTAAGAACCAGAGACAACTCCTCACCCTCATGATTCTTGTAGAGCCCTGCCCAAAACCACTTGGCTCCATCGTGCAGCAGCTCCAGGTTCTGCTGAATGAACTGACTCTCCAGAGGGTCTTCGATGCTGAGGAGAGCCCCACCTGTGACACAGCAGCTGCCTGTTACCTCCCGCCTCCTTCACTGTAAGTACCAATGTGCCCCTACGCACCCAGTTTGAGGCATGACACCGAGGCGTGAGCCCAGTTTTCCACCATAGACGCAAAGAACAAGTAACAGTGGCCCCTAAAAGGAACCCATGTCCTTTTCTTTATCGTTTCGGGGCAGTTTCCTCTATGTTGCGGTGGTTCCGTGGGTGCTATGTCTGAAAGATAAGATAAGATAAAACTTAAATGATCTCACAATGGAGAAAACTTTGGCATAAATATGATCACTCAGGGCCTGCACAAAGACAGAATCTGCAAACAACAAATGTTAAAAAGTGAAATTATAGTATATTTTGTGCAATAGAGGTATAATTATTGAGAGGTATTATACTATACTATTATACTATAACAGTGCAAGTAACATGAAAGATAATTCATGTTAATACCATTTGTAGATGTAGAATCCAAATAATTGGGTGTCTTACCTTGTGACTGCTTGCAGAGAGATTGGTAGCTGCTGGTGCATGGCCCTGTCTTCCATGTTTTATCTGTGTCCATGTAAACGCAGCCATAGTTGCTTTTGGGTTCATTTTCACCCCATTTTGTGTACGACAGGAACCAACCATCAATCCACTTGAATCGGCCTCCTGTCTGCATTAACACACACATATGTAATTTCTCAGAGATCCATTGGTTTGAATGGGAGCAGTCAAAATGACAGCTCTAGGAGTTCTAGTAGTTTCATAATTGCGGGACTCCATAGTGTTAACCCTTTAAGGATCACCTAATTTCGCCTGCTCCTTCTCGAATTATGATACCCAAATGGAAATGCTTATTGTGTGGACATCTTGTGTCTGATTTTGTGTTATGATGCCTCATTTGAAAGGTAACACCTTCTAGTTTCTGAAAATGTATGTTACAGTTTGTTAGGAAGGACACAGTCTGCACTACAGCTTCTCAAACATGAGTCAAAGTTATTTTTTTTTGTCTCGAAAAAAAAAGGCAATTTCAAAAGGTTCTTCTGAAGACATACTTTATGGTATGATGACTCACCAGAGCAGATGTTTGTGGTGTTGCAAACACCTGTATGCAATTTTAGACCTTTAGGTGGAACTATTTTGATGCTGGGGGCTTTTTTGTAACTAATGGGCACATTCGGCACAAGTGGTCCATTTTTGTGCCATCTGTGCAAAAGTGTTTTACATGCAAATTATCAATGTTTTTACACCAAAAATCCATTTATACAATTTTTTGGCTATTACTCTTGCTATAAATAGCATTTTTTCCAGATATCGAAATGTTTGCAGAAAAGCTATTATTTATATAGTTATAGCGCGTGTTCTCCGTGAAAAAGGCTCCGTCTTCCTCTCTTACGCATTCAAATATGACGGGAACAGTGGGAGGAAGCTAGAAGTCCGACACATCGCCTGAAACCTGAGATTATTGGCTACAAGATGATTTGATTGACATCCAAATCGGCCAATGGTAGTCAAGACAATGCTGTCATGACGCACAGATATCTACGTGAATGGAGCGCTAAATCTAGGTGCGCTTGTTTTACTCAACTTACTCTACCTTCCAAACCATAGCACTGAAAAGTCCGGGAATGGGCTTGTTTTGAAGGGAAGACTGAGAGGAAGACGAACATACCCAGTGACGCTAGCTAAACAGTAAAATGTCCTCTTCATACAGTGCGCAAAGAACAGGTTTTGTTTTTGTTTGTGCAACTTTCAATACTCAAATATGTTGTTGCAAGTGGATATCTACTATAAGGATGACTTTGAAGAAAAAACAACTGGATATAATTATTCTATAGACCCTAACGAACAAAACAAATGCACACATGTGTGGATTAAACGTGATTTGCCCCAGAATATTAGCATGACAAGGTAAGAAACGACAATATATATTTTAAACATATATACAGTTTGACTACTTATTCTTACTTTTGGTTATATTTAATGTTTATTTGAACATAATACGTGTATAGAGGTGGGAATAAGCTTTCAAAAGAGATATAGCTTGACTATATTGACACAAGTGAATTCTAATACTGATGCTGTTAAATGAAAAATAACTGAATCCTCCCTGTACAGGGAGGGTGATCCTTAAAGTTCTAAGATATATATATATATTTTAGTCTGTAATTAAGTGAGAGAATACCATATTGTTGTTGAGTCCAATCCACACTGGCTCATTGTGTTTGGACATCGCTAGGGTCAGGTAGGCGTGGGTCACGGGGTTCAGAATACTGGCCAAGTCCGCATCGTCTGCCTGACACTGCCGCCGCGCCTCGTCCCATTTCATCTTTTGAGTCACAAGTTTGTACGAGTCATTCCCAAGTTTGAAAAAGGACTTGGGTTGAACCGTAGTGGGTCCAACTTGTATCTGTGAATCTGCGACAAACAAAAAATATCTGTGATGAATGTAGCTTCTCTTCATCCAGCAATGATTCCGTTTTGTTTTTTTATCGACTTATTCACTCACCGATGTTTCTCTTGCAGATAAAGCTTCTCTTTACCTCACAGTCTTCTACTTTCCATAAACCAGTTTGTTTCACAGAGCTGCCCACCAAAACTACGCAGTCATAACTCTGCACGGAGTTAAAACAGCACAAACGTTGTATATGATCTCACATTTCGCTCTTCTCTACGCGTTTCTAAAGACGAACCTCAGAGGAGAACGAGAAGCGTGCATCGGGCCCAGAAGTGGGTTGTCCTTTCGCCCAGTTTGTGAATCCAATACCTTTTCCATCCGTCCAAACAAAGTGCATCTCCCAGTTCACATCGTTCATGCCGATCCAGAGATCCTCAGAGTATTTAGACATCTGGGTGGTTAGAAATGCTAAGAGGAGTTGGAAAACGTTAGTGATCTTTGTTGTCGTATGCAAAAATATCATTGCAAGTTATAAATTCAATTAAATTTCTTCTTGTGCAGGTATATCCCTAAATCACAACTGTGGTTATCTCAAAGGACTTTATGCAACCGTTGATTTCGTAAACACAGATCAGAGAATCAAACAGTACAAGCACAAGAAATAGTACGGAAAGCGAAATGGGTCAATAAGGGGCAGATGAGCAATGTCCATTAATGTTGTTGAATGTCCTGGATCGTCCCCACTTTTCTTCTTGTTAGACCTCACAAGACTAACAGGAAAAACTCTAAACCCAGTGGGAAAAAGTGAGAAACCTTGGGGAGGTCCACAGAGGAATCCACTCCCACAGATGGACGGGATGTAGACTGCAGGACTATACAATTTTCCTTTATGAATCATTGGTTATTTGGATTAGAAAATTCAGTTTCATATATCATACTGTATACAGGAGACAAACAGTGATATTTGAGAATTGAAATAAATGTATCTGAGACTGAGTGAAACCAAATGAGGCATACCTCTGTATTTTATTGTGCTTGTCGTGCTGCTCACCTTGCTCATTTTTGTTAAGAATGGACACTAGATTTCCACCCTGGTTTCTGCAATATGTCCTTGCTTCTTGCCAGTCCATTTTATTATTGCCGGATTCAACTTTGTAGCACTGAAATAAATGGGATTGGTTTAATCACGTTTGAAAGTGCTTTTGAGCTGCCGCATATATAGCAGACGTTGGAAACCTCACTTTTCCTTGAAACGCCGTCCAATCCGGGGCACATCCTCCTTTAGCAATGTCAGTGGGAGCTACGGTTGCGTTTGTGAATGTAGAGCTTCTTTTGCAGATAGATGAAAGCTCAAGGCCACAGTTGATGTCGTTCCAGTATCCTGCAACATGTTTATTCTTTTTAAAATACACACTATAAGAAATGCAGCGTTGGATTCAATTGATTAAGTAAAATAACGTTAAGCAACCTTCTCCTCATAACTCTGTCATGTTGGATTCAGTTAATAAAGTCAATTAAATGTAATAATATAGTGGGGATAAATGGATGTTATCAATTAAATTCAACTTGGACAGAGTTATGTGTAAAAAAGTTGCTTAATTCTGCCTTTTTTGCTGTTCATTACTATAAGTTGAGGTATTTTCTCACTGAACTTACCCATACTTTTATATATAGTGACACAGTTTTCATCATTGTTTGCAAAGTTTGGTTCATTCTTTTCCCATGCCGTATATGTTACAGGGGAATCATCCACCCAGCTGCAAAAGACAATTTAAGATTAATTTAAAACTATAAAAGTGTCAATATAATCAAGAGTGTAATTTACCTGAACGACTTGTCCAAGTTCACAGTCATGCCGATGTAGTACTGTGACTCCGAGCCCTTTACGATCTACCCACGAGAAAAAGACAAGCAGATATTGAATACATTTTTGTCAAGGGCCAAATGTAAAAAAGTAGGAGAGAGCCGAAAGAATAGAAGGGATTTCTTTTTCTTATAATTGTTTTTTTAATGCTGGTGCTCAGTGAATTGGGTGATGCTCTGACTGTGCGAAGATGGGTGGATGGATGGATGTTTTTTTTTAATATGAAGGTATTTTGACATTACTTCATGTGTGTTTCACTATTATTATCTGGTTGATTTTTTCTGAAAACAAAATGTGTTAACCAAAACGGAGGGGCTGCTGGCACATACTGTTTGCCTCGCTTCTGTCATGTATGGAGTGAAAGAATTATGACATCTATGAGGGTCCAAAAAGCGCTATGTATCACCAATGCTTTATTATTTTCTTTATTATTGTTTTATATTTAACTATTTAACTTTGTGATGATGTGTTGGGTTGCTGTGGTAACCCATTACCATCAATTCGGCAAATTAATGATCATTTTAGGGGCCCCAAAGAATTGTCTTGCGCTAGGCTGAGTTTGACATGCCTGATCTACTGTATATGAACTATGTAAAAATCTCACAATTTGCCAAAGGAACTTCCTCTCGCTTTCTCCTGTGATGACAGCGAGATCAGCAAAGTTCTTTTTGCAGAAGGCCCGAGCGCTTTCCATCGGCTGCAGGTCATTGTTGATGTAATACTGCGTGTCATTGTAAATAAACCAGCCGTCGTCCGTTTTGTTGTAAACTGAAGAACACATACAAACACATTAAAAACTCACCAATATAAGAATGAAGTTGTGAGTTAGGAATGTGAGGTAGTACCTGGAACAATCTCAGCAGGCTCTGGTTTTGGCTGTATCCCTTAGAAATGATTAAAAATGTATTTTCATTATAATGCAATTCAATTTCAATTCAATTTATTCTTGTACAGCCGTAAATCACAACAGTTTTTATCTTGGAATTCGCCAACGCAGATCAGAGAATCAACATTTCAACACAAGAAATGCAATGATAAAAACACATAGAGCCATTGGTCCATAGGGGGCATGATAAATGTCCATAAATGATGATAAAAGTCCATAAATGCATCAAAGACATATGGAAATAGTTTATACCTTTGCGTATTTGGCAGATCCAGTCATTGAAGAAGTCGCAGTGCCTGTCGTTCCAGGGCCTGCCATAGTGTGAGTTCAGCTCTGCACAGTGTTCGTTGTCATTGTGGTTGTTCGGTTCTCCAAATGCCCAGTTCTCATATTCTAACTACAACATTGCGGAAGACATTTAGAGAAAATATTAGCAAGTTTACTTTTCACTGACTACATTAAGCGATCCTTTGTTTGTCCCACAGTGGGGAAATTTTACAGGACATTAGGAATGAGGAGCCCACAACACAAAGTGAACAATAGCTCTATACTTAAATAGAATAAAATAAAAACTCCAACTTAAACATAATAAATAAGCATGTATAAAATCTTTAGCTTTAGCTTAATAAGGATAGTAAGACTTTAGATTAAAAAAACGTTGTAAAGGAGAGCGTGACTTAAGTAAGTACTTAAGTAAGTAAAGTTTATGTGTATAGCGCATTTCACAGACCAGGATCACAAAGCGCTTCACATTAAAACACATAACACTTACAGGAGTACCATCAGTCCACTTGAATGTAATTCCTTTGACACGGAGGCCGATCCAAACTGGTTTTGAGATCCTATTATCAAAGTCATTTATTACGTTGAACTTTTTTTATTAGCTGTACACACTGACGTACTGTTACCTGGCATTGTTGAGATCGTCTTCACTGTGAATACTCAAAAGATCTCCACCAATGGCTTTACAGAAATCAGATGCCCCTTGCCAAGTCTTTCTAGAATCCTTTTCCTTCTTAAAAACCTATTCAAAAAACACTTGTGAGATGAATGGGCTGATTTACACACTTAAAAATGCTGCTGTCTGACGGACTGACTTTAAAGCAGAAGTTTCTTTTGTGGAGGGGGTTCCACTCGGCCGCACAGGTCAGAGTGGGGGTGGTGGGAGGCACTGTGGTGGGGGGAATGCCTTCAGCTTTCTTTTTACAGATGTACTTTTCCTTGTTGGTGCAGCTTAGAACATCCCATAACCCAGCAAACACTCCAGTTGTCATAGCAACACACCCCTGTTTTCTGTCTTTAGTGAAACACAATGATCAGAGGAATAGTGCACATACAGTATGTTGTCTGGTGATGTCCGGCGTACCTGGCATGCCGACGTTGAAGTTGGTGAATGTCACTGCTCTAGAGATGGTCCATTTGAACGTGTGTTTATCCACCATGTTGGAAAGACCTGTCCAGAAGTACTTCTCTGGTCTTAAGCCTACTAGGCTCACTAAAAAGGCACTTTCATACCTGTTAAGTAGAACAACAGACAATTGTAAAGAAATGTAGTCAATGAAGCAATGAGAGTACGATGATAAGAAATATTTCTTTGTTTATTGTTTGAAGTTAATTCATTTTATTTTCTACGCAATGTCTACATTTATACTTAGTCTGCTATAATTTCTATCATTAACTTTGAGTGTTCATGTCAAGCTTTACCTGTCTCCCACATCCACCAGATTGGATCCTTCATGAGAACAAGCTGTTTTGGCATCTTCAAAGGACTTTGTCTCTGCTCCGATCTTGTAACAATATGGGCCGTACCTAACAGATCCCTGACACAGAAGAATATGCTCAGAGTAAAGAATGTTATTGATGATAGTGTCGCAGGTGAACTCACGAGTTTGCATCCTGGGTTGATCTCCTCGTGTGTGCCCTCTGCTGGTTTTCTCAACGCCTTCTTCTTGCAAATATAACCAAATGGTTTTTCACACATGTGGTCCCCCCATTTTCCATCCTATTCATGTAAAATAGTATTATTTTTGAAGTCCAGTGTCGCTTGTTGCACTGTTTTGTTTGATACCTGTCCTCTGATGAGAACACAGTCTTCTTGTACAGTTGTTGCGTGAGAGGGCTCGTCACTCAGCCAGTTTGTATATGTGACAGGGGAGCGATCGGACCATTCAAATAGCATTGGATTTCTCTGATCATTCAAACCAATCCAAAGCACATCTGTTGGCACTAAGAGACCAAATATATAATTAGAAAAATTATAATGATGAAAAAATGGCATTCATTAAAAATGTAAATACATAACATTGTGCATGTCACTTACAATATCCCATTTGAGAGACTATGAAGCTCTGCTCCTCTATGTTGGCTAAACTGGCCAGATCTCCTTCTTCTTTGTGACAGGCGCTCAAAGCATCCCTCCACATCTTTTTACTCCTGTCGAGGTAGTAGCAGTTTCCGCTGTATGGGACCCAGTGGTTTGGACAAAAGCTCGGCTGGTCTTTGCCTAGTGGATAAAAATACACACTTATTCACCTAAAATAGTACCTACTACTAGTACGCATATAATGGTTGAAAGCGGCTTTACTCAGAGGTGCAGGAAGTGTAGTAGAGTTTCCTCGTCTGCAGATGTATCCAAGTTTCTTGGTGCAGGCGTTGCTCTCCCACTTGGAAGCTTTCCCTGAGTTTAGGGTTGCACAGTTGGTTCCTGGCTCTGAAGAAGGATGACCTGTAGAGAAGTAATATTGGTGACTATACAATATGAAACAATTATCATGTTTTTTTTTAAAACTACTTGGTGCCTACCTGGGGCCCAATTTAGGTATCTGAACGGGTTTCCATTGCTCCACTGCCAGCCGCTGTCAAAATCCAAACTGTGCAGTCCAATCCACAGAGATGTCCCTAAAGTGCTTGTCAGCCCTGCCTCAACAAACAGAACACATTTGTGACAGCCACTACCACAATCTCTGATTACACGCCCACAGCGACAGAAACAGTGCATCAGTGAAGCGTGAGCAGAGCTGTAGTGCTGCACCTGAGATAAAAGCCTGCTCGTGCAGCTCCACGATGCTGAGCAGGTCGGACCCCTGCTGCTGGCAGCTCTTCCTGGCCTGGTGCCAGGTCAGCACAGCCTGAGTGTTCCTCTGATACTCCACTCCAGTGACCGGGTCGGTGTCCCAGCCCGACGTGGCTGCACAAAAACACAGCCCTCTCTTTACATTGAGAATGTTTATATAATTCATACATATTTTAGTGGAGCGAATCTTAGAGGGTTAGCATTAATGATAGATGTGTCTGTTCTTGGTGAATTTAGTAGAACAATAGAAGCAGGTGAGAGAGGACAGTACCTGGAAGGAAAATGTGCACATTTGTGTAAAGATATTCATCTCAAGGGAGGAAACTCTAATGTTTGGAGGAATCTGAGGTCAGCACCCAGAGCAGCACTGATCACTCCATCACACATACAAACATAAAACCTTCAATGTGAGTTTTAATTCACTTTTTAATGAAAATGTTTGTATTTACCTTTGGTTGGACAAAAGCCCCACTTTTTATCCGTGTCATAGTCTCGCGATGTAGCACACCACAGCTGTCCATCGCTCCGGCCGACTTTTGTGCACTCAGAGTACCACTCAGAATTAAACCTGAACGGGAATTGACATGGTCCGCCAAAAGCATTACCCCCGAGAGTGAAGATCTCTGAACAAAGACCACATGAGCAAACATTTATTAACAATACAAGAAAATAATTGGTGCTGAAGTGCTTTAAGAACAAAAATTGTTCTGTATCTCATTTTGAGAGAACAAAATCAAACAATAAAGCCAACAGTCAACTATTACAGCTATTGACTTGGTTTAAGATGCGTTTGAGCCGTACCCTGAAAGCCTTTAGAGCAGAGGTCTCCGCGGGTGCCGTAGATCAGCCAGCGGCTCCAAAGGCCGGAGCCCTTGAACACCATCATGTTTCTCTCATTGCGGTTTCCCCAGTTCAGGTGCAGGTCCTGATCCTTTAGGCCAAACAAAGTTTCGTTCTTGCACTCCCAATGCTGCAGCACACTTGCATCATCACATTCAAAGAGCACCACTTTGACCCAGTCTTTGATTTCAGTGGCTGCGAGACAGAGCTTGAGGGACAGGCTGAGCACACGGGACTCCGAGGCCCAGCGGAACTGCTGCTCTTTGGCATGAGGATTGCACTGGGCAACTGTGATGGAGGTAGCACTTTCCACTTTTATGCACTTGTTGTGGTTGTCATTATAGATCAAAAAGGATCCACTGTCTGAAAAAAAGACAGGCATGCATTTAAGTCAAAAAATACAGATATTGATATAGATATGTCATATGTTTTCTTACCGATGTCAGCAGTGATGCAGAGTACTTGCAGCAGACATATCACTAGAGTCGCTCTGGTTAACATGGTCCTTGTGTGGCGCTGGTGTCAGGCTGTGGTGTGGACTGTGGAGGTGCAGGACAGCAGTGACACTCACACACACTTCCCTCTAATCACTCTGATGGATATCCTGTCACATGGGGGCTTCACAACACAGCGATTTCCAGGAGTTTTCCAACACATGTGAAAAACGATAGGATATGCTCGGCAAGCAGATTCATCCTCTTAAGAGCCATTACATTGATTTTGGGGATTCCCAACTTTGATGTACAGATGAAGGTTATTATGATTAAGATTAACAGATGCTTTATGTGTACCACAGTGGGGAAATGTCAGTGTTGCATTACCGGTTACAGAACAGTATAGGAATGAGGAGCTCACAACTCAAGATGAATTAAAAATAATATTTATACTAAGATGGAATATACTTTTTAATGCATTTTGATCTGTGTTTTTAATTTGCTCTTTTGAAGCGCTTTGAATTGCCTTGTACACAAAATGTGCAGGACAAAACTTTATCTCCATTTTCGCTCCTAGGGAAAAGTGATGCTTGGCAGAATTTTCTTCTGGATTTTCTGGAAATTTGTTCAATGTGTGAAAAAGAGTGTGATGTGTGACTCGTGGTTTTAGTAGAAGCGAAGGGTGCAGGACGCTGAACCAGGTTACAGAAATATAGGTTAGCAGTGTGAAGATGTATGAGCGGGAAAGGAGTCCAGAGGAGGGCACATCAGCAGGACAGAAGGAAGTCCTGCTTCCTCTTCAGTGGAAACACAACAACTCTCTGATGAACTCAGTCTATTGTGAACATGATTAGTATAGCTATAAATGTATAGTTGTTTTTTGCTGTAGTAATTGTCTTTATGAAAACAGAAAATACGAAATGAGATTTAGATGTTCTTATTTAGCTGACTACAAGAGAAAAAGCAAAGCCATGAATGGATTTGCGGGAACCTTTCCTGCAGCAAACACACAGCAGGAAACACACTCTCTTGAGGATGTGACAATTGATAAATTCTACATCAATGTTGGCAGCTCACAAACGTGACCAGCATCACTGCATCCAATTGATGTCCATTTTATTGAACTTGAAAAAATATATACATTTGCTACAGGCTTGAACTTTCTATTACAACAAAAAAAAATCCACTAATAATATTAATAATAATATCAAATGTACATCTTATTTAGTATATGTATTTTTTTTATATATATATATTATATGTATATTTATATAAAACAAAAAAGAGGTAGAAAACAAAAAGTTAAGGTAGGGATTTTCTAGAACTTTATAGTCACTCATTAAGAGCATTACAAGAACAGGAGAATTTATCCATGTTTGAGTATAGAGCTGCAGTACAACCAGACTGTATATTAGAGCGGACTAAATGTTAGCCTGCGCAAGAGGCTGATTGGAACATAAGCTAGCTGGAACCAATTTCCTAATATGGGTATTTGTTCCGACGGCGTTAGCTTTGTGAGGTAACAGCGGCAGACATGTTGCTAAGATGGTTGTTAAAGCAAGCTGGAGTTTCCCCCATGAATGAAGGGATCTAATAAGTCAATCCTTATTTGGCTCAAATCTGGCTTTACAAAGACAATATAAAAACGTAAACACCAGGATCACAAAGAACGCTAAACCTGTGATATTTGTAAGCCCAAAATGGTGAGTGTGACTTGTACGGTCACTGAATAATTTATTTTTCATTGTAAGTCAATAGGAGCCAGAGTGAGTTGGAGCAAAACTTTGTCTATGAACAATTCCTTGTTGGGAAGTTGGTGTTGGCATTGTCTACCTATATACAGTCTACAGTACAAATAATTACTTTACTGTGAGCTTGCATCTCCATAAAGCTCACTCATACTTGTCTCGGAGATCCTCTTATTGACTTGTAAGGTAACATGATGTTGCTGTAATCAAAAACCCTTGTTTGATGATAATAGGGTTGGGGTTATGGTTACCATCAGATTCCAATTAGATTATGATCATCATAGTTTGCAGCTCAAAGTTAAGGTGCATTAAGAGTATAACATTTAGAGATAGACAGGATGGAGGTTATGTGCTCAGTGTCCATCATTACAGTAACATACTTTTTGTAAATTTACGAGGTGGACAAATGTAGCTATGGCCTAGAAATGTTTGTCTGCAAAAATAAACACATTCTCATTCTCATTTTCAAAAGACCATTCTCTCTGTATTAAAGATCTTTAGTTTGGTCATAAAGTTGAAATAAATAAATGACAGGCATATGAATAAGTTTTTCATCATGTAAAGAACAGGTGTAACAAAACCAAAAAAAGCAACCAGTCCAGCCCGCACAAAGAAGAAAGGTAGATCCTGCAGGGCCACCCCGAGCGAGGAGAGCAGGGGGCTCTGGGGCATGACCACCACTCTGAGGCACGATAAGTAGCTGAAGATGTAGATGGGGAATACCCAGCCAGAGTAGAAGACCAGGGGGTGCCCTGCGCACCGCACCATCTCCACCGTGTCCAACCAGAACATGAAGCTGTCCACGATCACGTCTGCTCTGGCGTCAGTGGCACAGAGGAAGCGCAGAGGGCCGGTGTATGTGTACGGGGACATGGGGTAGGACGCACTGCTCTCAGAGCGCGAGCTCAGACCAGACATGCTGAACAGCCTCCTGGGGTTACCATGGAGACTGGAGACCAGGGGGACCGACCCGTTTGGCTCTGGACGCCCCATGGGACCATTCGGGGTACGGGTGTTGAGCTGTGAAGCCGTGGGGACAGATGTGGCGACAGCTGGCCCAGGCCCGACAGGTCCCGGCACAAGTGGATTTAGAGGTGACACCGGTGAGACCGGGTCCATGCGCGTGAGGATTGTGGTGGGAATCTCTGCTTCTCTGTCTCTTTCTGTAGCTGAGAAGATGAATAGAATGTTAATGTTTTTGTTGATTCACTTCAAAAACTTTCCCAAAGCATCCTTATATTTCACTTTTTATGATTTATTTATGTGAGAAACGATATCTACAAATGTATACATACAGATATATATTTATTGCGTTAGTGTGTACAGTATTTTATTCTCTTTATCAAGAGACTTGTAATACAACACTGACATTTACCCACTGTGAGACAAATAATCTTAATCTTTATCAAAATTCTAGCATATTCCATGTTAATTCTCCATAAGAGGAGCTTTTAATTGACATTGAAAAGAGTGAATGTGTGTGTGGGGCAGAAGTTCTCACCCCGTCCCGTCAGCCTGCAGTACCGAATCCTCTCCACTACGTCCATGCAGACCAGCGAGAACAGGACAAGTGACACCGGGACCTCCGTAAACATGTCATGTCTCATGTTATTGTTGATTTGAACCTGTGAACATAAACATAAACCCATGCAATTTCACAACATTAAAAGAAGGCTCACAATTAAGTCCATTTGTAAGTCAATATGAGGAGATGGGGTCTTGACATCGGTCCAGCAGAACAAAGCAAAGGGGAATATATAGCTCTAATGTAAAGGCAGCAGATAAGCAGAGGTCTTGAGGTCACTGGGCTCTTTAGAAAGTGCAACATAAAACAGAAGAGCTGGCGTGTATCCAACCAGGAAGACAAAATGTGCCTCATAGACAGATGACTTGACAAGGCCAGGGTGGACAGGAACAGGAACCCAGCTGCTTATCAGTGGCTCCTTGTCAATGCTCTGTCCAGGATTCCTTGGAGACCTCACATCAAAATGCTTACGAGGACTAACTATATCACAGTCCCAGTCAAATATTTGATGGGTCATCTGGCTGGCAACCGTACCTCTGAGCTGGCAATGAGGAAGGCAAAGCAGGGTAGCGTGGATAGGATCACATAGACGAGAGCCACTGGCCTCCTGATAGAAGAAGAGAAAGGGAACTGAAGTAAGTTAGAAGTTCAATTCAATTCAATTTAATCTTGAATAGCCCTAAATTACAACAGTAGTTATCGTGGAATTTGCCAACACAGATCAGAGAATCAAACAGTTCAAAATAAAGAAATGTATTCATAAAAAAATACTTTGGTCCAAAAGGGGCTGATGACCAATGTCCATAAATGTTGTTGAATGTTGCGTGTCCTGGATCATCACCACTGTCCTTTGCCCCTCCGACATCGGGATAAGTAGTTGAAGGACTGAATAAAAATCTACTACTCTAGGACACACTTACCATTTCTTCCGTCCAATGAGAAACGCCTTCTTCTGAAACACCATATACTTGAGTGGGACCCAGATGAGCAGTGCTGTTGATGTCACATAAGCCACAGAAGCCGCCACTATCAACCAGTAGGCTGTCCGGCTGTCTCCAGGAGGCTCAGCTAGATCTTTGACTTTGGCCACGATCACGGCAAACCTCTGCATGACGATGAAGAGAGGCACGGACAGCCCCACAAACTGTAGCACTTCACATACGGCAAATTTGAGCGTCTTCCCTGCTCCCATCCTGCGCTGATCCCAGGCACACAGGCCCCTGTGACAGCGGCTCGGGGCCTGGTCTCCTCCAGCACGTTCCACTGACCACAGACCAGGCTGAACGCATCATGTGCTTACACTGCATGAGCCATTGTGTCAGGGACAGACGCTCTCTTTACCCCTGGATGGAGTGGGCACAACAAGCTACAGGTGCCTTTGCTGCCAGTGGGAACCGTTAGGACGTTGGGAAAGAGTTGTCAAAGGTTTAATAGGAAATGTATGTGATGCTCAGGCTACATAAGGAAAGAAAATATAAAAAAAGTTTCTTATTTATCATTTAGTTATTTTTCATTTAGCCAAGGCAAGTTTATTTGTATTGCACAGTTCATACACCAGGCAACTAGGTGCTTAACAAAACAAGATAGAACTAATCACACAATGCATTCAAATCATAAATATTCAGTGTTCATTATAAAGAGTAAAGATAAAATCCCTCAGTTGTATATAGCTCTGCTTTTAACTGCCTTGTCCCAGGTAAACTGATTGAAAAGCTCATGTCTCTCGGTTTAAGTGTTGCCATGTGTAAATGGATTTTTAGCTTTTTAACTGACAGATCTCAGAGAGTGAAAATCAATGACTGTTTTTCTGATGTTGTTTCTGTGAGCACTGGTTCTCCTCAGGGATGTATTTTGAGTCCTTTGCTTTTTACTTTGTACACTCACGATTGTGTGTCCTCCTCTGACTCAAACTTGATCATTAAATATGCTGATGACACCACCATCATCGGTCTCATCAGTGACAACGATGAATCCTCTTATAGAGCAGAGATACAAAATGTGGTTCAGTGGAGTCAAACTAACAACCTCCAGTTGAACGCATCGAAAACATGTGAACTGGTCTACGACTTCAGTCACAATAGTTCTCATTTGCCTGTCGTAATCGACGACTCCCAGGTGCAGATCGTAGAGGAGTGTACTGTAAGTTTCTGGGTTTAACTCTGTCTAACGACCTGAAATGGGTTAAAAACACTGACCGAGTCGTTAAGAAAGCTCGTCAGCGTCTCTACTTTCTGCGTAAACTTAGAGAATTTACCACTAACTCCAAGATTCTGTTTAACTTTTATGGCTGCACCATTGAGAGTTTACTTGTTGGTTCTGGGTCTGTGTGGTTTGGAAACATAACAGATAAAGAAAAGAGAGCTTTAAACAAGGTGCTCCGCTCTGCAAAGAGGACCGTGGGCTGTGAGCTTCCTGTTCTGGAGGTTCTTTATAAATCCAGACTTTTAAACAAAGCTCTTAGGATTGTCAATCACTCTTCTGGCCACCCTGGGAAAGCCATGTTCCAGCTTCTTCCCTCTGGCAGAAGATATCGCTCTCTGAGATGCAGGACATCTCGTTACGCTAACAGTTTTTATCCACAAGCTGTTATCAGTGTGTGAACAGAGCACTTTAATGATTAATGATGCACTTGTTTTGAACTGTTTTAGTCGATCGATTTCACAGTGACTTTTGTTTACTGTTTCATTTGTTTTATTTTTGTCTTTTAATGTTGTTTTATAAAAAAAAGACAAAAAAAAAAAAAAAAAAAAAAAATTTTTTTTTTTTTTGTCTTTTAATGTTGTTTTATAGGGGCGACAGTAGCTCAGTTGGTAGAGCATTGGCCTTAAGCCCAGAAGGTCGTGGGTTCAATTCCCACCTCCACACCTTCTCCACCGACTCCCACTGATGACTGCTGTCGTTGTGTCCTTGGGCAAGACACTTAACCCCACTTTGCCCAAAGCCCCCACTGAAAGATCAAGGCTATGCTCACAGTCAGAGAGCAGCCGTCCTCCTGTGGACTCACCACCTGCAGAGGGTCAGTGAGGGGCTGGTGCTATGAGACTTGGGTGGCATCTCTGATTGACACCCCCCTGACCCAGAAATGGATTAAAGGGAAGAAAATGGATGGATGGATGTTGTTTTATGTCTGTATTTGTCTGTGCACACTGGAGACTTTTTACTAATGTATTCCAATGTGGTTTTTTTTACTGCAAATGGCAAATAAACTGAATCTGAATCTGAATCTGAACAGAACCAGTGGGCAGACCAGAGAACGCCCAGAGCCATCATTTTGACTGCTCCCATTCAAACCACTGGCTTATCAGGTTTTACCAGGTGTATTCATTTGTAACGTCATTTGTTTGTACCTTCACTCATCTTTTAGTAAGTGCTTGTTAACAACCAGCTTGAAAAGCAATTTGGTGAAAGGCTACCAAACAGCTGGCATGTAAACAGTGTGTTACTATGGTAATTAATTCTTCTCTAGTTGGAAAAATAAGGTAAAAACTCCTCACAATTAGATATATTTTTTGTTATATCTGTATCCAAATAAACTACATACGTGCATGAGCTGAGTAATTGCAATTCCCAAACTAAAAGCCTGTGATGCTCGATTAGTCACACAGTCGCTCTGTGAGTTAAAACAAGTCAAACCAATATTTTAGACAACATTTCATACTTATATAAAACAATGTATCATAGTCCTTTAGTTATGGTCCAAATGTCAAAGGTTCCTTAATGGTGCATAGACGCCATCTAGTGTAGGAATGATGGAACAATGTGGCCTAAAGTTACTCTTATTATCATAGATGACCACATAATCGTCCTTTTGTGTCTTGCTCAACTGTTACCTTTTGGGGGAATGCGGTGGGACTTTGTGAATCAAGGTCTGTTTGAGCTCTTAGTCATTTGAACCACGTGCCAAATAAATTCTCCTAATATATGGTTATTACACGTAATCCATCAAGCTCTGTGTTATGACAAGTGGTTAGTTGAGAAGGTCTGATATATGTAATTATGAGACGCTTGTAGTCGGCACTGGTCCCGCGAGAGAGCGCTCGGGGGCGGATAGATGGATGGATGACCCCCCCTCTCGCGTCGTTCCAGCTGTCCCCTCCTCCTCTTCACTGTCCCACCCTGGCGCACCATGGCGTCCGGCGAGGAGGACGGCACGGTGGACGACAAGGAAAACAACAACAAGAAGAAAACCAAAAGTGCCCTCGCGACAGCATGGCTCACTTTCTACAACATCGCCATGACCGCCGGGTACGTGCCATAATCCGCCCCCGCGTAATGCCCTATTAATACTAATGTCCATAAGTATCTGTTCGGCTCTGGAGACGCAGACCGGGCTGTTTATAGTTCAGTGTTTGGAGACCTGAGTGCGCGTCCGCCCTGTCTATGCCCGGACACTGCAATTGGGACTTTGGACTTGTCTCGGTCCAGTTCTGTGGCAGTTTTTGTGCGTGTTTTCGTTATGAATGAAAGGCGTTTAAAGTCACAGGCGCTACTGTCGCTGTGTCCAAATACGGGCGATGGCGTGGTGCGCGTCAGGCCCAGAGCGCTTCTCAGCACAGGGATATGTTTAGACAGACACCGCTGACACAAGAGCCATAAGGGCCAGCGAAGAGCCTGTGAAAATCTCTGGTCACTGTCTTTAACACATGCACATACAGTATACGTGTGTGTGAAAACAGTGCAGTACACACATAACAGTGCAGGACATACTCGGGTGACAATTATACCATATTTAGAGCTCCTAACTCAAATTCTGCTTTATAACAGCATAAAACAACCATTGTATTCAATTGTAAAGCCCATGGATGAATGGTTAAGACTGCACAATAGCACATAGAATGGGAATGGGGACAGATATTAGACAGGGACTCTGGCTCACCCTCATGCAACTTGTCAAAACTATAAAACATTATTGTCACGTGCTGAGAAGGATGAGGACTCAAAAAGCAGGAATGCCAAAACATAATTATTCAATAACAAAATAAAAGTCCAGGTTAAAACTCAAAAATCCAAAAGGCACAAGCAGCAACGAAACAGGAACAGACTTTGACAAGACAGGACATACAATGGACCAGCAACAAGAGGAGAGGAGCACAGGGTAATTATAGACACAGACACAGGTGAAACACATTAGGGCGGGGCAGACAATCAAGACAAACCAAAGCACAGAGAACAGATATCAAAATAAAACTAAAGTCCAAAATAACAAAATCCACACCATGACAATTATGATCTCAAGCCTCCTTGCAAGTAGGATTCTATGTCATAAATGTTTAGCCTACATCCATCCATGCAGACACATGGATCCAAACAAGGTCTACAGCTATAACTGCTCTAAACAATGGTTAACAAAGTCTGACGTAGGACTAAAGCACTGAAGAAGGAGATGATGGAGAGAAACTCCTGTGTGAGACCAGTGGTGTGCGTACCATTGTTTGAAAACCACTAACTTATTCATGTCATGCCTGTTCTCTTAATCTGAGACTGTTTTTCACATTATTAGCAACAAACATACAATGCTTTAAAAATGTCCTTTAACACTAAACTTGTACGTTGTGTGGGAGATCATGATTGAATAGTGGTGGTGATATTCATTTTCAACTGTTTCTTTGTGAAAAGTATTTTTCTGCTGATTCAAGATAACGTGGCATAAATGTGAAGATAATAGTAATATCACAAATATAACTGCAAGTGTGATGAAGGGCCTTTGCCAACCTGCGGCGTGCAACGGTACAAAAGTGCGTTATGTGTGTTCAAGTAAAAATGTGCCAAACACATGATTACAAAGACTGAGGCTTTACAACAATAATTTGGTTGGCAGTCTCCTGTCAGTCTATCCCTGGGCAGCTGTGGCTAAATACCAGTTTATGGATCAATATACAAGGCCCTTGTGATAACATTCTCAAAATAGATGCTATTTTGCTAATGACACATGTTATAACATTTAGTGCTGTAAGATGGTCTGCAAATAAAGTGCATTATTATTAACTTCCCTTCATTCATACACCGTTCATGTGTTTATCTTGTCGGCAGGTGGCTTGTTCTGGCGATAGCGATGGCACGCTTTTACATCCAGAAAGGCTCAACCAAGGGCCTCTACAGAAGTATAGCAAGGACACTCAAGTTTTTCCAGACCTTTGCATTAGTAGAGGTACGTAAAACATTCAAGTCAATTGATTCATTCTTGTGTTGAAAAATACTGGATAATATAGTTTTGCATTTGTCATCCCAGGTTGGTCACTGTGCAATTGGTAAGTTTGTGTTTCCCTGTGTGACATGTTGTCTGCTTGGCAAATCTGAGGTAATTCCTGAATGTGACTTTTCTATAGGAATTGTGAGGACTTCTGTGATCGTAACTGGGGTTCAAGTGTGCTCAAGGATTTTCATGGTTTGGTTTATAACCAACAGCATCAGACAGGTGACCTCTTTTTCTTACATTACATTGTCATATAGAAAGAGAAAACTATCGGTAGCAGCGAGTTTCACATTTCTTTTTGATTTGTACCTATCGTTATAATCTGTGTTTTCCCCTTGACTTAAATGAAGATCCAGAATGAAGAGAGCGTTATCCTTTTCTTGGTTGTGTGGACATTGACAGAGATTACCAGATATTCATACTACACTTTCAAGCTCCTGCACCACCTGCCGTATTTCATCAAATGGGCCAGGTGCACCGACCGAGAGCAGATCTGAGCTTAACGGGGCGTGTGTGCTGCCCTAGAATGTCCTCTTGTGTGTTTAAAGAGGACGCACTGCTTAGACCGAGTGTGCTTGTTGTGATTTGCACCTCTTTAGCACTTGCTGACACCTGCATTAACGAGAATGTGGCATGTTATAAAGTAATAATAACTGTTTGTGCGTGCTTTGGAAAACCTGCGGTAGCTCCTAAACTTCACAGTGACACAGTTTTCAGCTTTCACACTCGGACTGTGACGTGGCAGTCTGTCTGTGCAGTCAGTGGTCCAGATGAAATCGGAGTCGTCAGCTGTACTCGGTGATAGCTGTACAACTTGGCCCCTGTCGCTCAGGGTGGGCTCACTCAAGACAGATTGTTCAAATTAGCATATTACATCATCCCGGTGTAAATTGTAGACAGTGTTAAACCAAAAAGATGATTATTATGATATGGAATGCTGATAAGGAGGGTCCAACGACAATGGTGATGATCCAGGACACTCAACATTTATGGACTTTATCATGGGCATTGGTCATCTGCTCGAATTCAATTGTTTAATGGTGTATAGCCCTAAATCACAGTTATCTCAACGGACTTTTCAAAGCTGTTGATTTGCCAACACAGATCAGAGAATCAAACACATAAAATGCAGTGAAAGAAAACAAATTGGTCCATAAGGGGGCAGAGACCAATGTCGAGTGTCCTGGATCATCACCACTGGATGGACCCATGGCTCTGTGTTTTTTTTTATCATTGCATTTCTCGTGTTTAAACTGTTTGATTCTCTGATCTGTGTTGGCAAATTCAACAGTGTTGTAAAGTCCCCCAAGATAACAACTAACATATTGTGACTGCCGTATCTTTGCATAATTCAGTATGTGGTCTTTGGGTGTCGGCCTCAGTGCAGAGCATGGCACCAAGACTCCAGCTTTACAACTCCTGACGCATGTCTTTAAGCAGCGGCGGAGACGCAAAGCCCCTGGAGAGGTCTCATGTTCAGCTGCTCCTGTTTTTAAGACCATCTGTTTTGGTCATGGAATGCTCACCCAACATTTCCCTCACATCCGCTGAGACTCTCCCCGCAGCCTCTCCTGCCCGTAGTCCTGAGTCACCACACGCTGTACTAGAAAGAGAGGGATTCAACACAAAAGGGCACAGCACACTTCAGAGACATGGACTGAAGAGAGTGAGATAAAGTTACCTTAGATAATTCATCACTAACTTTGGTTCACTGCAAAAAAAGATACAATATGAAGTAATGAATGTTTGAATTGAGCGTTTTTTTATCTAGTTTGAGTACATTCCAAATTAAAACAAGATTTGCCAATGGGACAAAGCCATTTTTTTTGTATCTTTTAAAAACAAGATAATTTTGCTTGTCCCATTAGGGCTAAGGCAGTCAGAAAGTGCTTAAATTAACATACATTTTGCCAAATTTCAGCAATTTTTTACTCATTCGTCATAACTTCTTCCAGTGTACATTTGTTTGGTTGCCACTAACATACTAACATGTGATTTGGCATGCAGCAGGAGGGGCATGGTCTGGACTTGTCTAACGAGTGTTTGTTTTGCAGATACAACCTGTTCATCATCCTCTACCCGCTGGGGGTCATCGGGGAGCTGCTCACCATCTACGCTGCTCTGCCAGTGGTGCGCAGAACAGGAATGTACTCCATGAGGCTTCCCAACAAGTATAACGTGTCCTTCGACTACTACTACTGCCTCATCATCGCCATGCTGTCCTACATCCCACGTAAGGAGCCTTCGTCATGGCACCATACTTAATTATATTGTAATTACAGGCATTTATCTTGTTTGTCAGATGGTTTTATAGTTATATTTTGTTTTGGAAATATCTAAGTAAAATACCATTAAACATATATAAAAACTAATAAATATTATCACTATTGTCAACTAAAGACGATCTTAGTGCCCATGTAGTTTGGGTCTAAAACATTCTATTCTCCGTGGTTTTGCCTTGAATTAGCCTATAGTTTGGCACATCCACTGGCTTTAAGAACAAGCACGTAAAAATAATGGATAGTTAAAAAATATAAACAATTCAAGAGACAAGCTGATTATGTGCATTTTCATAAATCAATATCTTTGATCAGACAAACATTATGTGTGTGTTTATTTTCTATAAATATAATATCCATTCATCTTCTTCCCCTTAATCCATTTCTGGGTCAGGGGGATGAAAATCAGAGCTGCACCCAATCCACAGAGCACCATCTCATAAATATAATAATGTCAATGAAATATGAGTGATGAATTGCAGATAAAGGGATTGTGTTCTGTGGCTAGTACTGTAATCCCCTGCTCGGTCACAAGGGGGCAGTAACATATTTCTTTCAAATGTCATAATCAGTCTTTTTGAGGAGCAACAATGAATACGTTTAACCCTGTGTCTCCTGCAGTGTTTCCTCAGCTCTACTTCCACATGCTGCGGCAGAGAAGGAGGGTGCTTCACGGGGAGGTCATCGTGGAGAAGGACGACTAGCCCCAGATGATCCTGAGCCGACAGCCCGTCACCAACCGTCTCCAACCATGTGTGCCAGAGAGCAAGGCACCGGTATCCAGTGCTAACCGAGAGCAGACGACAGCACCAAGGGATTTATAATGTGTTTGAACGCCGAATAATTTCTGGAACCATGTTTACAATTCAAACAAAAGTTTTACCGGAGCTTGAGATAGAAGCCTTTTAGCTTGACTATGGCTTCTCCGATCTCCTCCACTGTTGCACTGAAGCACAACATTCTCATGAGGAACAGAAATCATTACAGTAACAGCTGCACCTGCCCCAAAGCGTGAGAAAAATGATGTTACTGTAAGATACTATATTAACTTTCCCTAAACTCAATTGGTAAAGCAGTCTCTAAATGTAAAACACCATTGAAATTCTATACACAGATATTAAGTTGTACGACACAAAGAAATGACACAGTAAATCAATAGTCATCTTTATCATACCTCAACAATAAACCTACATTTAGACAATATGCTGCTTCTTTTGTGTAAGTTTGTTATTTGTAAATGTCATGTGAAATAAGCGGTTAACGAATATATACTTAACGATTTATTTATTCACACACTGTCACGACTTAACGTGTGTCAGCTCTTGCGTTCTTTGATTCATTATTTTGCTTCTGTTTATGAATTCTTTTAGCGAGAATGCATCTTAAAACACTGCCGTTGTAGTCGTTTTGTCTTTAGTGTAGCAGAAGTGGAGGTGTTTGTCAGCACTCATTGTCTTCAATAACTGTCTGTGTGAGTCTCAGGCTGGTTAGAATCTCTTCTCCAAAAGGTGCTATTGTAGGATCATTTCATGTGTGCAGCTGAACAAGTGACTGATTGGAGTCGACCTGAAGCAGACGACAGCGTGAGATCGAAGGCTTTGCACTGAGTTAGCGTTATCCGCAGTCATCTGAGATCGGCCTCATGCAACAATGTGACTTTGAGAGAACAAAATGAAAGTTCAATCCAAACTAAAGAATGGAAATGTGAAAATACCTTCTGTTGAAAGTCAATAAACTAAATTCTAAAGGAACTGTTTCTATAGATTTGTGAAGACTTTCATTCTGCAGACTCATGATAATGCAACAATTATAGCAGCAAGAGGCGATGAACGGCCTTTGCCAAACCACACTGTAGAAAAGGGGGCTTTGACATGACCTTATGCTGTGTGTATACTACCCCCTGGTGGTTGTGAGATGTTATTACAAGCCCTTTATTTTACTTTTGACTTGTTCAGGAACTTAAATGTGATTACATTTAGCCAAATACATGATACAAGACAAGACCGAGGCTTTACGACATTCATTAGGTGTACGAGAATAAGAGGCCCCTGACAGCATGTGGCGCTCGGGCCTCATAATATACTGAGGCTCCTGACAGGTCGCCTCTGTAAAAATGGGTCAAATGCATCTGTTTCTTTATATACATTTTAAAAAAAAAACAATGAGGATCAATGTTTCTTTTTGATGGTACCTTTTTATTTTTTGAGTAACAACCTGAGATAAATAGAATGTTAACCCAGGCAGTTATCAGTCATATTGACCAGTACCAGTAAATGTAACTATGACTGTGAACTGTGGGAGTACACTCTAAAAACACATTCATTGGAAACCAATAAAAGCTGATATGACCATCGTGCATTGGTTGGTGTAAAGATTAAAACAACCACAGCACCTGCGTATTACTCAGTCTATTGTGGCGCCTAAACCATGTGACAGTCTGACCTGTTAGACCTCAGAAACTAAGCATGGCAGGACCTGGTTCGTACTGTGATGGGAGACCTCTGGGTGTTATCACTAATACCAATGTAGAATTGTTAAAACCAAAAGATTGGTCGGACACATAACTACAAACCAGATTAGAAACATGAAACTATAATTTTAGTTCAAACCAATCTGTTTTAAGAGAGTAGATTGATTCCAACCTGTTTGGAATGTTGTGAATAACATTTTTGGTATGGAACTTGCCCGTTGATAATTTAGCACCTATTTATACTTTATTGACAGAAATGTAAAGCAGATCTATGGGCACAATGCGCTTAAGAACATGTCATATCTGTATGGAATAATAAAATATACATTCAAATATAATGTCATTAACAAAATACAGTTCTACAAATGTATACAGACTGTTATTAGAAAATACTAACGTTCATCCTTCCCGTATGGAGCCTCTGGTGCTGCACAGGTCTCTGGACTCGCACCAAGTACAAAAGACATTAGTCTTAGGGTGCGTTCACACTTAGGACTGAGTCTAGTCCACTTTGGGATAACTGCACCTTCACTGCAGGAATGTGAAAGCACCATGTGCAGACTGCTCAGAGTCACAAGTGAACATTGAAGTGAACAAACATTGAACATTGAGATCTGTGACTTCAGAAGGACTGTTACATTTTCTTCTGATGTGAACTGAGTCCAGTTGACCAATAAGTGTGAACGAGCCCTTAGAGCCAAAACTACATTTGTCCCACTTATTGCTTCTTTCAAACAGTCCTTGCGCTGTGTCAATGGTCCAGAACCACATGCCAATGGTCCTGCTGCTTATGGATCAGCACCACTTGGGCACAATGTTATCTTCCAGAAGAGGTCGCTGTTAAAAGGAGTAAGACATTAGCGTTGACGGAATGAGAATATGAAGAAGTAATACGTAAGAAGCGCATACAGGTTTCAATATCTCTCTCACAAATGTAGCTTATGAGATCTTCACAGAAGAAATCATTCCACAGTGCATCGTGTATGAGGCCAGCACAGTCTTCCCCCACTTCATGCCCATGACCCCAGTTATCAGGCTGCCCAGGCTTCCACGACCTGCAACAGAACATCAGGCAATCAACACACACCAGGAGAAACTGATAGTGCTGGAGGAAATGGCAAAGGGGAAAAAACACGTTTCACAAGTTTGAAAATGTATGACAATGAATTTATTGGGAGCAGGGGTGGCTGACCATTTTGATGCGGTGGGCAAACATTTATATTAGCGTGCCATGGGCTAAACCTAAGAATGTGCTGCAGCAAAAAGATTAGATCCTAAATTATTGCATTTTTTGTGTGGAAAATATTGGTTTTGTCTAATTTGCTAAAAAGAAAACTGATGAGACTAAACAGTATAAGTCTGTGATCACTGACGTGAATGAAGGTTCGGTCCCATCGAGCCACTGCCACACACTCTCCTCTCCTCTGTCAGTGAGGCCCATCCAGAAATAACCCTTTCCATAGATTTCATTCTTCAGCCATTTCTATGAAAGAACAAATGATTTTAGTAGATTTTAGTTAATGAACATATAAAGGTCTATTCTTTTATATTTCATATTTTATATTCTTTGAGACCCACATGTTCTTCTGTGTCTCGAATGATTAACAATGAAGCAGACTTTAATTCACAGCTCAACTTTGCATCATCAAAGGTGTGGAAATCTTTGGAGAAGAAATAGCACTTGCTCTTGTGGTTCACCCACTCGTCTGGACATCCTGCATCGACAAGAAAAGAATCAGTTTGTCTTAAACGTAAAACTAAACCAAAAACAAAAAGGTCAAAGCTGCTCACCTGGAGCTGACAGCGACGGCGCCACAGCCTCGTCCTGCTGTGATACTGGGCTTGTAGATACAACTGGACCCCTAAATGGAAGTCCTGGAGGTCCAGGGGGTCCCACTGGCCCTGGGGCTCCTACTGGTCCTGGTAAGCCTCTAAGACCCTGCTCACCAGGAAGTCCAGTGGCCCCTCCAATGCCTGGGGGCCCCTGAGCACCCTGAGGACCAGGCTGTCCATCTCTCCCAGGCAAACCAGCAGACCCTGGCTCACCTTTTGAGCCTGGAGGGCCTGCTCTGCCCCCTGACCCCCGAGAACCTTTGGATCCTGGGACTCCGGGAACACCTGGAAGTCCCTTTGGCCCTGGTAGACCTGGAGGACCTGGGATACCCTGCTCTCCTCTGGAGCCTCGTACTCCAACCATACCCTTTTCACCTCGTTCACCTTTCTGTCCAGGTTGACCAGACAGTCCTGTGCCCCCCTTTTCCCCTCGTGGTCCTCTAGGCCCAGGAGGCCCTGGTTCAGAAGGAAGAAAATATAACAATTATTAACTATAAATATAGTAATTTATAGACAATCTGATTGGAAAGATATACATTTTTGGGACAAAGTGCAAGATGGCTCACCCTGTAAGATGGTAAAGTTGGTGATGAGCTGTGAGTGTTTGCTATCCACTAGTTTCATCTCCTCCATGACTATCGACAGACTGGTGACCTCTTTGTCCAAGCGTGCGACCAGTTCTTCCTGCTGTGAGCGGAGAGTGCCGCTGTCGGCCCTCACGTCGGCCACGCTGTTGTTGAGGCTGAGGAGCAGCTCCGTGTGCTGGCTCACGCTCTCAGAGCAGCTGCGCAGTTGGTTCAGGTTCAGGTTAATAGATCCCAGCAGTTGTGTGGTGAAGCTGATGTTTCCCGTCACTTGGTCCATGCTTTGCTCAGACAAGGCGACCTTGGTCTCCAGACGCTCAAACTTCTGAACGGTCAAGTTTCCAAAGTCCCTGTGCTGGTCCTGAAGCTCCCGCAGAGCCTGGTCCTGAGCCTCAGTCTTGGAGCTGGTGTTCTGCAGAAGGATGCTCATGTAGCTGAGCTGAGAGTTGACCTCCTCTAGCCCGTCCTGGTTGGCTTTGGCCTGAGTGGATGCGTTGGTGGCCACCACCTGCAGGTTTTCTACTTTGCTGCGGAGCCAGTCAGTGTCAGAGCGCGTCTGCCGTGTCATCTGCTCCAGTGTCTGAAAGTCACTGCGCATTTTGTGGATAGCTTGGCTGGTGTCTTCCACAGAGCGCTGCAGAGCAGAGATCAGGTCTCTCTGTTGGGCCTGACTGATGTTCAGAGAGCCGATGCTGAGCACAGCCTGGTTCTGGAGTCTGCTCTGCTGCTGCAGCTCTGTCTGCAGCCGCTCTGTGTCGCTCTGCAGACCGTCCATAATGCTGCTGTATGTCTGCACACTGCCATTGACCCAGCGCACACTGGCACTGTTGCTGTCCACTGAGCCCCGCAGAGAGCCCTGGTCCTGCTGCAGCTGCTCACTAGTGCTTTGCAGCTCCGTCAGCTGACTCTGCTCACTGTGCAGGTTCTGCTGCACCTGCGACAGCTGCCGCTGCAGGCTCCAGATGCTGTTCCGAAAGGCCTGGATCTCAGTGGAGGTGTTCTCAGACTTCTCTCCTGTCTGATCATCTACAACAATCACAAACACTGTGTGTTTAGATCACAAGTACTCCAATATATTTACTTAATTATGTATTTTTTATTTCCATAACAATATAGTTATTCAACCCTTTCCACTATGAAGAACACTATAGAAGAATAGAATGAATAATCTACATCGATAGAATCCACCTGAAGAAGTCAGTATCATATACAGTAAGTAGAAAACCTCTTTTGAGTTACCAAACATTTAACACTAATGAAAAGGACAAACTTACCCAGCTTCTTTAGGTCGGTCTCCACAGCAATAATCTTCTCTTCATAGTTTTCAATGCCCTCAGACACACTGTCCACTCTCTGAACCACTGCAACCAAAACAATGTAGAGCTAAGGTGAGCATCAGTGTCTGGTCTCAGGCTCTATTCTTCATTAAGAGCGGGCAGAGTACTGCCTGCAACCACAGACATCATATATAACAGGGATAAGGGGTCTGCATGTGGCATCTAATAATGTGGGGCAATATGGTTGGACTTGCTCGATGCCATCACCAGGATCAGAGCATTAGCTTCGTATTAAGGACTTGTGTCATTGAGAAAGTCATGAGACGAAGGCAGAAGATGTGAGGTCAGCATGGACAGACAAAGTGGGCCCTGGGGGACAGGAAGAGAGCTGGGGGTCTTTAGTAAACTGCCCCATCAAAAGAGGAGCCCATCAGGAGACAGTCACTGTGGCAGGAGGCTCTTCACACCCCCAAAGGCGACACTGGGCTTCATTTCCTCTGGAATGTGTCTGGGATTGAGGACTCAGCCCACAATACCACCAGGCTGGTCAGGGGACACGTCCCAATGAGCCCACATGGGCGCCTCTGGGGGGAGCTGCTTCCAGGCCTCAGACTCAACAACCTACACAGACCACATACTACCAAATACTGGAGTATTTAATGACATATTGGACTCAATGCTTTTCTCCAAAGAGTCGCTATTCTACACTGTTGCACTGAGTAATGTTAATGGCTAAAAATATCTCTGTTTGCACTTTAGAGAGTGATGACATGTGCTTGTCTGTCGTTACTCAGGTGGAACACTCAGCTGTGACTTTTGATTCTGTTTATTTCCAGCTGCATAAAAACATATGAATGCTTCTGTTATTTATCAGTATAAACCTGGTTTTCAACATACAGCGGCCACAGCTGCTAGCTCACTCCATCTGAAGTCAATTAGGGCAGCATGAAAGTCCAGGGACAAAGAAAGAAAGCAGACAATGTTGTTAATGCACTCTGGGATCACTGATAACCCCTGGATATGTTCACTTCATGCCTTTTCCACAAAAGAAAATCCAAAGAGGACACAGCGGCGGTAGCATATGGCAGTGGTTAGCAGAATCATAGCAGAAATGTTCAGAGTTCAATTCAAGGCAAATTGCTCGACCAGGAAGTTCACAGAGGATGAGGGCTTTAACCACAGGTGCAAGCTGCGGATGTGTTGGTAAAATAAACCCAAGGCGAGTTTAGAGGAAGCACTAGATCATCTCAATTACAAAAATGGAAGGAGATTGACAGAAGTTAGCACTAAAAGCCCCATTCATCTTAATTATGCAGCAATATGGACCTTACTACAACAGTTAACCTTACCCTTTCTCTTTTACATTTGATTTAATACTTTTCTCTAGTGGATGTGCTCAATCCGTAACTGTTTCAAAAGAGCAACATTTGTCGGGAATTGTATTGAATGTAAAAATTGAACTTGTTATTTGTAATTGAAGTGAAAAGTCGAGCTCGAGGACTGGTCTGCGGTCACTTTCTCAGCTGCACACTCTGATCCTTCCTCTTCTAAACACCTGCTGCACACTTACACACCTGTGCTCATCGGCATCACCTTCATTGGCTGCATTTAAACAGTGCTTCACAGTGTCTGCATTAAGCTGAAGTTTGTGCAGCAACCCACCTCCTCCCCATTGCTGCCTCTCATCAGTGGAGGAATCAGCTTTCACCACCAAGGTCTTGACCCGGCGGGACTGCACTCTCATGATCTCTAATCAACTCCCTCAACCATGTGTCTTGCAATATTTCTGCATGGGTCAAATTGCCAAACAAAGTAGTACCTTAGCATACTTTTTTATATTGAGTCTTTCCAGATAAAAACAATATATTGTCTCTAGATATTGAAACTACTTTAATGAATATCACTTTTACCTGTTTTCTGTATAAATATATAATAAAAAAAATACCTTTATATCCGAGCACAGCCACAGCGATGGTGAGAAGCATACACAGCACATAGAGGAGGGCGATGGAGGTCTTCAATGCCCATTCATTCTTACACTTGGTGCACTGGGAGCCCTCCTGGATCCCTACAAGCAGAAAGACAAATGTTACAAAGAAATGTCATTTTACAATCCTTTTTTTCAAGTTATCATGAAGTAGAAAACAATAAAATATATATATTCTACTTCATTTGAGCTATTTATGCGGCCTGTTCCTCTCTGAACCAACTCTCACACAATTAGATAAGACACCTTTACATTTTCCCATAGTGGGGGAATTCTATTTCAGGAACTTTAGGGATAAAAAGACATATTTTATCTAATACGTTTTACATTACAGGTGTTTCTGTTTCTTAGGTCCATGTAAAACAGAATCAATTGTGTGACTTAATTCATGAATGTATATTTCGGCCTCTGTCGCATCTTTAGAGCAGTTTTTTCAAAAGTTCTAGAGAGGACCACCACCAGAGTCTGCAAAAAACAACATGTTTTCCAGGATCGCCTGATGTGATCTGATCCATTCACAACACCTTACATTACAAGACTCTTTCTGTTGAGACAAACACATTAATCAAACAAAAAAGTCAGGTACTCCAGCCTCAAGTACATTCGTAAGTGGCATTTAACGATTATGTTTTATTATCAATTAGTTGTCTGGATCACAAAAAGGCCACAAAAGGGATTATTTCATATATTCCGCCAAATCTATTGTCATGGTATAGATTTTTATTACTTGATACTGTGTGTTTTTTTTTGTAATTTTCAGTATTCCTGTTTTACTTCCTGTTCTGTTCTTTTGATTGTCTCCCAGTGAAATACCTTGTGCTCTTTCCTTGTTGTCAGCCCATTGTGTTTATCCCCATTCGTTCAGTTTTCAGTCATAAAACCTCTACTCTCTGCAAGTTTAAGTTTGTGTATGGTAAAAAAATATATATATATCTACTATTTCAATAATCGTTTAGTTGCAATTAAACTTTTTTCAGCCCTAAAGTGGACCACATTTTGTTGAACTGCGTGGACCATGCTTATTGATGCCTCCATGAAAAACTAGAGAACATAGAGTCAGTCCAGAAAAGCATTCGTCTTGAAGGAGATTCCAGGGGTTTGCAGGCAGAGTTCGGTGTCCTACATCTGGATAAACAGTCCCAGAGCGGACATGAAAGAGCTGGACAGATCCCCTCGGGCTCCGGGTGGTGAGGAGCCAGGGGACACAAAAACAAGCCCCCCCACTGATATGTTTACACTTAGATTTCCACAAGTCACTCTTCACTCGGCAAAAGGCTCTGTTTTTAGTTACTGTCGCCAGCACACACAAGATGTATTTTCATTGTAAGCAGTTTTAAAATAGTGCAAACAGGAGGCTCAGGGAAAAAAAAAGGTTGAGCTAGTAAAGCAGAAAAATGACAACATGCAGAATTTGAAAAAGTACTATTCTATTTGTGTGTTAAAAGTATTGCATTGCTAGTAATAGAAATATGTCTCTGGTTTAGGGCCCTATTATGTGCTCACGTGACAGTTTGCCTGTTAAAAAACCTGGCAAACTACATCTTTACATTGTCTCAAAACTGAAAAAGCAAATAAACATTTGATGAACACATTGTCAGTTTCTGAAACATTTACTGTGGATTTAACATAGCTTAAAGGTGATGCCGGTCAATTAATGTATTGTATGAAGAATGCATGAATGTACAGTATGTATCACATAAAGTCAGTATTTTCCGAAAACAATATGTCCCTCCCCTCATCCATATTCACCACCAGAAAAATTGTTGGGGGAGAATAGTTAGACCAAAGGGGCCTTGTCTGTGTATTTAAATGAATTCCAACCAATAAAGAAGCAGTAAGAGTGAGAACGGGAAAATGCTAATGCCTTGGGGGAAAAAATGGTTTCTCTCTCCACAATTCAAAAAACCAAAATCTCAGTTGTGCGCGTGATTATGTTTGTGCGTTTAAAGCTTCTCCAGCGTCAGTGCCATTGTACTCCTGTGTGTTTTAAATGTCAACATGTGTATCATGAAAGGAACAATAGGGGGTGATAGAGAGTAAGCGTTCCATACCAACTCTTGACTTCTTCCTAACCTATTCTTCAAGAGGTTTTCTAAGCACTTTACAGCCGCAGCCGCCCGACTGTGGCACCTGGTGTTCCCAGAGGTCTTCCATCACAGTACTAACCAGGCCCTGCTCTACTTAGTTTCTGATGTCTAGCAGGATCTGGCTTCACCTGCAGGTAAGTGGCCAAAAGACTGTGAAACCGAATTAGTGACAGAACTATTGCATTACCATTTTCCCTCGAAGCAACTGTATGTTTGCATAAAACAATAGTAAATGTGGATTCCCTCCAGTTATGAAGAAATGATCAAGATCAAAGTCAAAGTCAACGTACGCCTAAGAAAAGCAGTCATCTGTCAGCTCAAACACAAATTCACCAAGATAAAGATGTTGTCTAATAGTTATCATTCCATAATAATCTTGGTGGACCAGGTTTGATTCGTTTAAGTTGTGGTTGCTATAGTGACCATCTCAATATCTCATCTGCTGTATGTCTGTCGCTCGAACCCAACCAGGATGTAATATTGTAAACTTTTAAAACTTGGGAAGAGGCTGATGAAATGTATCCATCCTAAATAGTGAAATGACAAGTCTAATCTGTCATATGGACTGCGACAAACGCCCGACTCAGCATAAAAAAACTGAAAAAATCGTCCAAACTCAAATCAATCCTATTTGCATTAGTTTTGTAAAGTGGCTCATTGTTCTTTCCCCTCCAGCCTCCTTCATATCTTTCGTGACGGATGAGTGGTGGTCGCGGCTCTGACGGGAACACAGCTGCGTTTCATTTCAGCTTCAGGAAGTGTGCGGATGGAAAGGTTGGAGGTGCTCTGTTTGGGTTCTGCCATGGGGGTGGATCTACTTTACATGCACCTGGAATAGAACTGTCTGGATTCAACATCAGAGAATTCTTTTATAGAAACAAAAAAATCTCCCAACACAGGAAGCCTTTGGTGCCAGCAGCTCCAGTTCAAATAGACTGGAGGAGTTGATGTCAGCCTGTTAGAAATTAATAACATTAATTGTGGAAAGAGGGGGATTTCTTAAGATTGTCAAGTATTGGTTTTCACACCGACATCAGATCCAAGGCATGAAGGGTGGGCTCATTAGAGAGAGCATGGACGAAAGTGAGAACTAGGTATTTCACAACACAATAATAAGTTATGGCCTTTGAGTGAATGGCCTTTAACATGGGGGTGCAGAATTAATATCAGAATCAGAATCAAAATTATTGTATTGCCATGTTAGTAACAAGAAGTCACAAACTCGGGTTTTGCTTTGGCTCACGGTGCAAACAAGTTAAAGTAGAGAATAGAATAAGGCATGCATGAATACAAAATCTATACATTTCTCCACATTATAATAATGTATACAAGACACTTCAGCAGCTCCTTTTGCATCAATGTAATAGAGTGTATACAGTGCTCCTGACTTTTAGTTGACGTATAATGTAATGTGTGATCTCTGAAACAGCAGACCGACTTTTTTTTGTATCTCCCACCTCTTGTGTCAAGTCAAATTTAAGTAATTTGTTCTTGACCAAAGAAAACCACATAATAGGACAGAAATAGGAAAACATTTTGTTCAATCACACACAGCTGTTAAATAATAATTAAACAAGAGTCTCGTCCCTGGATTATAGTGACTGGTCTGGACTATAGTGACTGGTCTGGACAACAGTGGTCTGGTCTGGACTACAGTGGTCTGGTCTGGACTACAGTGGTCTGGTCTGTGGTCTGGTCTGGACTACAGTGGTCTCGTCTGGACTGGTCTGGTCTATGGTGTGCATGTGGCAGGAGTGAGCTCTGAGCAGCTGTGATGTGTCAGGCTGATGTGCCCTGAGCTCCGGACCTCCGCCTCTTCACCTCTCTGCGGGACGTCCCGAGTGAGACAGGAGCCGCACTCAGCGCTGCTCCGACTGCGCCTCTGGGACAAAAACACCAGGTTTTATTGGTGTCAATCATCACTGACGGAGAAAGCCCTCGTCATAGAAATGTCTGTTTGACTAAAGACATTTGTAGTAACGGTTCTACTGTCGAAACCAACACAAAATGCAACTACACTTTTGTGTGAGTGTAAAGTTTAAATTGAATGTTATATGAATGCTTGAATTAAAAACAGTTTGTTAGCATAGAATGTCCATAAATATATATACGGACCATATATGCTGCTTTCCAAGTAACATAACAAAACTTATTAGCACACATACAGCATGAACATTTCAAAAAGTACACTTAAAAGCATATTCCCGACGTTTGGTGTCGGGAATATATACAATAAATGACATCTGCATCTTAAGAGTGTGATGCTTCAATACTCCTTCACCAAAAAAAACTGTTTGTGTGAGCAGAATGTTTGGGGTACTGTAAGTCTTCCTCTCCACACTGCAAAAAATAATGGGGAAAAAAGTCAAAAGTTGATCAAATTTGGCAAGATTTTGAGCACATTCTGACTTTGTTAAAACAAGAAATTTAGTCCTATTTCAAGAACTGTTGCTTTGTTTTCTCATTCCAAGGGAGATATTTGCTGTATCTTTTTAAAACAAGGTAATTTTGCTTTGTCCCATTGACACGGCACTCAGAATGTACCCAAATTACAACACATTTTGCCAATTTTGAGCAATTTTTGACTTCTTCTCATCTCTTTTTCGCAGTGCACTGGTCCCGTGTGGTGAACGGTCAAGCCTCTCACAGCTACAGCAGCGTGTTTTCCCACAAAACATATTCAAAACACAATAAAACAGTCCTGACCACAAAATTTCACCACAAAAACACTCAGATTGAGACGCCACATGCAGACGACAACACTTTTACTGCCCAGGAGCGAAACTTCCAAAAAATCCCATCACAACAGAATAATCCAGTGTTGTTTCAAAAGACAATGCTTCCAACTGTTACACCACACTAATTTAGAGCCAAAACATGCACGCTCTCCCAACTCAGAATCTGACTCCCTCCTCTCCTCCCTCCGCCTCTCGCTGATATTCATTCATGTGTTTATTTGCAGCCGCGGTGGGAGAGCCATAGTAACATGCACAACACAAAGGCTTTTGGTTGAGCTCATGCTAATTGTGATCAGGGTCTTGGCCGTGCTTTGAAATCACCGCACACTTTTCCAGGAAGTTCTGTCATGAAAAATAGACCATGGAGCAATGAAAGGCAATGAAAAGTATAGTTAGTCGTTCAACGGGAGAATGGAGGCATAGTGTTCGCTGATAAACATGAGGCTACATGGGTATTATTCAGTTCGTAAAGGCATTCTTAACTTTATGTTCTAAATCAGCACAGAACACAGCTACTGTCACAGCTAGCAGAATACAGGTAAAACTCAGAAAAAAAAATATTATCATTCAAAAGTTCTTTATTTCTGTAATTTAGACTCAATAGAGCAAAGTGACATATGCAAAGTCTATGTTATAATTTTGATGACTATAGCGTACAGTCCAAAATATTCACATTTGTGGTTTTTACAAGCTGTGAGTTAACATTATAAAAAAAGCTTGATATATATATAACTGTGTGTACTGAGTCTGTCATACATTAGTAGAATTACAGAACTAAATAAATTCAAATTTTTGATATAATTCTTTCTCACTCTTTCATCGATTTTCTCTCACTCTGTCTCTCTGATAGAAAACATTGTGTTGTATCCATAGACTGTTGTATTGTTTACGACTGGGTACAGCTCTTTTGCCTTTTTGTAGAAATAATTATTAAATAAATCTGCAGCAAAAGTCCAAAATCCTTTATCATTTTCTAGTATTACTCTTACAACTTGAGCCAAAGCAAATTATTAGTTTGTCACTTCCTGTTTCATACAATGGCCAAAACGAATTCTGATTCTGGATACATCCATGATCCCACTGCACTGCAAATGAATATAATAACTCTTCCAGCACATTGAATACAAACCAGTTGATGTCCGGGAATAACCCAGGGTGAGGCGGTGGCATGTGCCCTTCATTACTCAAACAAAACGTGATTTTACGAGACCTCGGATGCAGCGACGTGCCAATATGTTTTACTATCCACAACGGAAAATAATAACTGAAGAAATGACACCAATCCTCAATGGCTTACTTTGAATCCAAACGTCCATGGCAGCTCGTTGTTGACATAAAACAGAAAACTGCCAGGTTTTTGGTGGGAACTGTTTTACTATTAGGAGGTTTTCAGCATTTCTCAACCTTTGTGATTTCAAAATCCTGGAGAAGAGGCAGAAGAAAGTGTTGTGTACCTGACTCAGAACAAGTCCGACATGTGTGTGGTCCGTCGTCCATAGTATTTTTTTATGATACAGTACATTGAAAACATATGTCTGCGTCGCATGACATAAGTGGGCACGATGGCTGTGGTCGGGGTAAATGAGGTACGAGCGAGTGACAACATCAGGAAAGAGGGAAAACATGGATGAAGTGAGAGCTGGAAGAAAAACTGTCAAACGAGCCATAAAACAGCAGTGACCAACTATCTGAGGCTTTCCAGAGAAATCTCCAGGCTCTGTGTCCGAGCTGTCGAGCGAAAGACAGCGTGGATCCGGTCAGAATGCTGAAGAGGAGGCCAAAAACATTAAATGGTAACACTTTAGACTAGCCCTTGCTTATTTATCAGCTAGTTAAGTGCTAATTAGTGAACCCTAACCCTAAACCCTAAGGCAACTCAAAGTGCTGAACAAAACAAGATAGAAACAGTACATTCACTCATTGACTGCCATTGACGTATTTGTCTGAGACCATCTATTCGACTGGGGATTACAGGACAATAAAAATAGCTAGAAAGAAACTCATTTAATCTGATCAAAGTAGACAATCCAGTCTTTCAAAATCTGGTTTCATATTTCACATAGTCTCAGGAAATAATATTCTGTGGGTCTTGAGAATCAGTGAAATCATCAAAAACGGCTGACAGTCAATGAGTTATAAAACGGGTAAAGATAGAATCCTTCAGTTGTATGTGCAGCGGAGAGGAAATATTCTTTGTTCTGCAGACGTCAAAAATAAATGTGTCACTAAAACCATATGGCATCATAAGTATAATCACAACAAAGTGCTGACATAGCGGCAGATCAATCAGCATGCAGAAACATTTATTTAAATTTCTACCAACATTTGCCTGTGCTTTCGTGGTGTGGACTTTTTTACCTGGTTTTATTTTGATCTTATAAATAAATTCTTTCTCTTGTTTGAGTTTTACTTCCTGTCTGTCCTGTTGATAGTTTGCCCCCTCCTGATGTGTTTTTCCTGATGTGTTTCTCCTGATGTGTTTTCCCTGATGTATTGTCAGACCTTGTGCTCCTGTCTTCTTGTAGTCCGTCCATTGTTGTTTTTTCCCCCATGTCTTTCCCCTGGTTTCAGTTTTCACTTTTTGATTTATTTTCCTTGTGGCATTCATTAAATTTCACTGTTTTGCCAGTTCTGCTTTTGGGTCCTTCCTTGTTTATTCCGGACTGCTGCAGAATAAGTTTATCAGTAAAATTCCAGGGCAAAAAGTCACTTGACAAATGTACAGAAGGCGAGTGGCAGAGGCGATAAGAAAATGGTTCTAGTTTATTGAAGATGGCTCAAACATGCATGAATCAATCTTAAAACAACTCATGAAACTGAGACCATGTTGTTAAAAATCCACTTGCACTGTTGTAAGTTTTTTGTTTTTTTGAGGCAATTCAAAGTGCTTCACAAGAGCCATTTAAAAGCACATATATTGAGTTTTGTCTATTCCTGACTGAACAAAAAATCCTTATCTACTGGTATATTACATGCTCATGAGGCCGGTTTATTTCCACAGCACAAACACCAATCAGCCCAGACATGAAGACATCTCAGTGGGATAATAAATGCTGGAAGTGTTTGTCCCTTCCCCCCCGAGGCCCGTCCTCCGGTCCCCTGGTCCCACTGAGGCCCAGCTCGGCTCTGCTCAGCCTCACCACTGGCTGCACTTACACAAACAGCTCGTGTTTCCAAAAAAACTACATCAACAATAGGGCAGGGATGGGATTTGGGGCCCCAAAAAACTGCTCCGGCTCCAGTTACAAAGCAAAACATCAGACTTCAGGCACCAATTACAGTGTGTGGGCCGCTCCAGCTAATGACGGCCACATTAGCATCAGAACTCAATCTGCCATGAGCTAAGGCTCCGAACGCAAGGTCACGACAAACACCACTGATGTGTTCAAGCCACATTTGCACATATACTACTACTATACCACTACTACTACTACTACCACTACTACTACTACCACTACCACTACTACTACTACTACTACTGATTCATCACATTTAATTTGGAGAAAATTAAGGAAATGAATACATGTTTAAAACTGCTAGTAGGTGGCAAATTAATCAGATTCAGATTTGATTGTTTTGCCATGTGCAGTAAAACCACATTGGAATACATGTGCAAAAGTACATACATAAAACAAGCTAAAAAGTAAGAAACAATTGTCACTGTAAGATCAACAAAAACAGTTTAAATAATAAATGCAAGGGTTAGTGGGTTAGGGTTAGTGGAAAGAAGCTGTCAGCATATCCAGATGTCCTGCATCTCAGCGAACCATATTATCTGCCAGAGGGAAGAAGCTGGAACAAGACTTTTCTAGGGTTGCCAGAAGAATGTGTTTGATATTAGCATGATTCTTTTCTCCCTGTATATTTTGAGGATATGAACAATTCTAAACCATTACAAAACACACATTTGTAACAATAAAAAGCATTGATGATTACAGAAAATATGGCAGACATTTTTTTTGTGCTTTAACTAATTTGCATATATATTTTTTAATCACTTATGATAATTACCATACACTTAACTATTACAATGAAACGTGTTTGACTGGGCCATAGTCTCCTGCAGAGTGTAGCAGGTAAAGAGCACAGACACAGACTCAGGACTGGTCTGTTCCTCAAACAAAAGCAAACATCCAAAAGTCTCTGCTCAGAACTCCAACATGCGCCTGTTCCTTTGAGCAGCACCTGGGATAATAAATACACCACAACCACATCGTGACAGAGCTGTGATTGTCGCGAGACACTGAGCTCAAACACACAGCACGCAAAATAAATATCATAATCCTGATGCTTGTTTTTCTGTAATGTGTGATTCTCCCTGCACAAACGTCACGACCAAAATAAAACTACACATTTTTGAGAACCAGGACTTTCAGTGGGAACATGTAAAAGTACCTGAAGAGCCCCCAGTAGATCAGGCCTGTGCTTGTGCCAGGACAGAGGACAGAGTGGACAAAGGATAGAGGACTGAGGAAAGAGGAGAGAGGACAGAGGACCAGGCACCAGAGGCACGGCCAGCACCAGACACACGTGGGCTGCAGACAGTAGCTGTAATTAACCCAGCCACAAGTCTGTATCCAGATTGACAGGCACACAATTAAACATTTTACCATTCATTCTGTGGGGAATCTGGGCATTTGAAACATAGAGAAATACAAATATATACACATATAAATATTACTTTTAAAATGTTAAACTATTAGAACATACAAACACACACAGGTCCAGGGCAGAAACATATAAAAACATGGTCTACGCACTGTTTCATGTTAATGTGCTCTCCTTAGCAACATTTCACAATATCCACAAACGTCATCACCCACTGTGAGCGAGACAGGGAGTGAGGGGGCTTCAGCCTTGTAGCAACCATATTTTTTAGCCACTTTAACCTGCACTGGTAAATGTCTATTGTGTGTACCTAGTTTAGTATAGTGTAGCTTTTTGTATGCCTTTTTGTATGCCTTGTCTTTATACTGTATCTGTTTTTACTTTCTTAACTTGTTTGAGCCAA